AATCTTTAGATAAGCTATCTAGCTGATCTCCCGCTACCTGAAGTAGTCTCAGCCTGCTACTTCTCCGCCATCTTGACTCCTCCCCTCCTCTGCTTCTTTTAAGGAAAGGGAGGGAGGAGACCATGGCTATGTTTATGCACTCAGTCCCTCCTTTCTCCTTTGATCCTCAGGTTAGCAAAATTCCACAGTAGCGAATATGTCCCTGTGCTTAGGGTTCTAGAAGTGGCAGGGGAGAAGTATGTCTAAATGGGGAAGATTGCTACTCTGGGACAGGTTCTAAGACCCCTTCCGGTGCCTCTCCTGTAGGGGATATGGAGGGACCTCAGCCACGGTTGCCTGCTGTTCAGATCCTGCCTCTGCTTGGACAGGTCAATTTAACTGCTATAACACAGTGGACCTGGCCTGGTTCTTCTCCACTTCATTCCCATTTGAGTAATTGATAAAGGCTTTGCCACTTTTAATCTAATCTACATTGGCCAAGAGCCCCGTTAATGAGATGTCCCTTGTTCTGCGGAAGTTCTTGACTTAGCTGAGGAAGCAGGTAAAGCAGAAGTGTAGACAATGATAACACAGTGAAATGCATGCTGAAAGAGGTATGAAAAAGGCCTTGAGGTGAAGTTACCTGCCATGGGTGAGGGTTACTTTTGAGCTGTGGCTTTGGGTGTTATACAGAATGGGCCCTGGCCTCAGAAGCAAGCAGTTCAGAAGCACAGTGATATCAGGGCCATTGGCACATGGGGGACAGAGGACAGTGGGGTGTGGCTAGATTGGGGGCTCTGTGGTAGGGGATGCAGGTGGAGAGAGGAATGAGTCCAATTGCTCAGGGCCTGATGTGCCAAGCTAAGGACTGGAGTTTTGTTGTGAAGGAGAATGGGGGTCTTACCATTTATTTTAAGAAGATGGGTGACATTGTTTTTTGTTTTTGTTTTTGTTTTAAATTTTTATTTATTAATTTGAGAGACAGAGAGAGCACAGAGAGGCAGAGAGAGAGGGAGAAGCAGGCTCCCCACTGAGCCAGGAGCCCAATGTGGGGCTCGATCCCAGTACCCTGGGATCATGACCTTAGCTGAAGGCAGATGCTTAACAGGCTGAGCTGCACAGGTGCCCCTGGGTGACATTGTTATAGGTGTATTTTATTTATTTCATCCAGGGTAATTGGTGAGAAGGGACAGAGGGGAGATAGGACTGAGACAAAAAGCTATCTGGGAACATTGTCCTAGACAAGGAGAACAAAAATGGAGAGTAGAGGTGGAGGAGTCTAACTCCTGTCCATTTGAATGCAGCTGGCGAAAAACCATGAGTAGAGTTGATGAGTCTTGGCCCCTAGCTGGAAGTAGAACAGCTCTAAGTTTATTTTTGTTCTATTCTTGTTGAGTTTCCTTTGGCAAGAAAGCCCTTAACCCCACTCATCAGGAACCACTAGGGTTAACTTAACAGTAACCTCCTTTTAGTTTTAGGACCAGAGAACAGCCCCTGGTAAGTTTTCTGGCAGGGATTCCCAGTACTTATCCAGGAGCCTCACTAGTGCCTGTAAAATAAGAGGGAGATTATAAAACACATTCATTTCATAGTCATCTGTTTCTAAAAGTAATTCTTCCAGAGGATGCTCATTTTACATCTCTTATGAAGTTTTTTTCCTCCGCATCCTCACGTGCTCTTTTGCCAGAACAACTGAAGGACCGCTTCTCGCAGGCTTGGCCAAACCCCAGTGGCATGACAGCATGTTATAGTGCAAAGAACTCTGGATTGGGAATCATCAAAATGGGAAGTCAGATCCTGGATCTGACACTGAGTTTCTGTGTGATCTTTTAAGAGAAAAACTTTGAACTCTAATAATCTCTAAGTGTCTTTCTAGATTTCACATTGTAAAACTCTACCAATATGCTGTTGGAATAAAGCACCCCACAATTAACTGAAGCCCCATCTACTGTTATTTCCATTTTGAAGACATTCACCACTGGGCTTCTGCGTACATGTGTTCTCATATATTTCTAGTTTATGTTGCTTTGTTACAAAACAAGTTCTCTCTTTTCTATCCAGTTCATCCTATGCCTGGGCTAGTATTCATGCTAAGAAGTTTGCTTTCTGTCTTACTCCCTTTACAACTGCAACTATAATTTACTTTTCTTTCTGTTCATGTCTAGTTTTATTGTATAAAGATCATTTTCACACAGAGAAATAACACAGTCCCATTTCTGTTTTGTTTTGGTATCAATTCTGTTTTCATGTTCAAAATATTGATGTTTAAAAATATAATCTGATCATCAGGAAAACACCTCAGTTTGAATTAAGCTACTAACTTTTTTATGGAAAAAATTAAGAGGATTTGAAATCTAAACACACAGGTTGGGACCCTTACAAATTGCAGGAGGGAAATGAAGCAAATAGATTTTTGCTGTTGTTCTTCAAGGAATAACTAACACAAAGCATGTTAGCTTTCTGGGAAGTCCAAATGAATTAATGAAACCAAAATTCCTTCATTCTTTACTTGAAAGTCCAGTATGGGTTTTGTCTTTCTGCATATTTTGCAAAATTTATTTAACTTTATCTAGTCAGGCTGGATTCTGGCTCTTTCTTTTCAACCTGCAGGCCTCTGGACCTTGAGGGTGCTCATTTCATCTCTGACCTGAGAATGTCCTTTCCTTGTTTACTCAGTTGTAAGAATTGGAAGCATCATAAGCACTTCACTGTAAAGCATTATGCCTATTTTATGTTTTTTTTTTTAATGACAGAAATGTCATTGAAGACGACTAGAAAATTCAGTGTCCTGTACAGAAATGATTTTAAAAGAATGCTGACAGAGACCTGTGTGTCAGTATTGAAAGACACACTCCAGCCCTTTGGTAGTGTTCTGTTTAGCCTCGACAGTGCTGAAGCAGTGTGGCCTCATGCTTACTCTGGGTGTTGGCTTCTTGCATAAAGACACCAGCGTCTGTAATTAGTAGTTGACTCTGAAGCAATGAGCAAATTCCAAGTGCTGTGATAGTACTTAGTTTCATGTAGCTTTCTCTGTTACATTATGTGACAAATATTCTCATAACACAGCAAATCAAATTCTCCCAACCATTTTCCTCTTGATCTAACAATAAAACTCTTTCATGGGCATTAATGAATATTTATTATTAGCACTTCATTATCTCCAAATTCTCAAAGTCCTTTATCAACATTTCATTATCAATCTGGACAGTCACCATGTCACCCATATTTTATAAAATTGTTATGAACCAGATGGCACACTATGAACTAAATCGTCTTGAAAAGAAAGAAAAAATTCTGAGCTCTGCTTTAGAAAGACAGCAGGTACCAACTGAAAAGTCAGACTCGCACTGGTTTTTATTGGATTTCTATTCCCTGAACACCTACCATTGAACAATAGCAAGTACAATAAGCACACAAACAAAACACTCACATTTTATTGTAATGGCTAGTATCTAGAGTCATTTAATGATCAACATAGGCTTTGGGGGAATCATTTGTCACTTGCTGAATCTTTCCTTCAGGTACCCTTCTCTGATTTAAAATTTGATGTTTACAAAGAAGGGCTTTGGACAACTAGATCTACTTTGATTTCTTGGGAGCTTGGGTTTTGTTTAAGTCATGATGTAAGTAAAAGCTCTGAATCTTATGTTAACACCAATTCTAATTTCTTCCAGACTGGCACTCTTACGGAAGATGGGCTGGACCTCTGGGGGACTGTCCCAACTGTTGACAACTGGTAGGTACTTTAGCGAAGGTGGACTGTGGGATTTGTGTGGCTATCTTGGTGCTACTCAGAGCCATCCTTCCAGCGGTGAGGGATGAATGTCACATAAAATATATATAATAATTTACTAGAACTACTTCCCAATTATTCTAATTTGTTAAATTAAATGAGTTCTAAGTACAGAATCAGACAAGGAAAGTAGGTCTTCAAACTCCACATGAAAAATAGAATGAGCTGGATGAGTAAGGAATTGCATGAATAAAATGGAAGAGCAAAGAGTGAAATCAGAACTGTGCTTAATTAAAAACTGCAAAGACTTGCTAGTGGTTAGTGGGCTGGTGGGGGTGGGAGTGGGGAGGAGTCCAGAGAGGAAGAGCTCTGTCTCCTCCCTCATAGAGCTCACATTTCATGGGAAAAACGTTCACCTGCCTTCTATGCACAATACAGGCTGTGGGAAGTGCTACTATTAAGACACACATATCAGTATAGAAAAGAAGAAACAATAATGATTACTTGATATACTACACAGTCCAGATTTTAGAATAATATAATAAATGGTAGAAATTAATTTTGAAAATGAATAGAATGAGGAAACCCACCTGACAAAGATACCACTTGAAATAGAATCTTGAAACAGGTATGGCTAAAATTTTTATAGACACGGGCTTAAATCTGGCCATGGGAGTGGGGACAGCAATCACAGAGATGCTACCCCAGGATGGAGCTAGAGAGGGGAAGGCCCTAACTCCCTTCCCAGTGGGGATGAGATCTGCCTTCTCAATCCAAGTGCGAATCCCTCAGCTCTTAAGCTCTGGATACTCTACTTTGGCTCCAAACATGGCTCAGTCTCTGTCATTGAAGGAGTCACACAGGAGCTCCCCAAGACAGTGATGGGGAGAGTGTAGCTCTGGCACAAGATAACAGCAGACAGGCAGTGAGACATGTGAAGATACTTGGGTTCAACCCTACTCGTGTGCTTCAGCTCCTGGCTGCTCAGGTGTCTGGTCCAGGCTTTTGTTCAGACAGGTACCACTTTGCCTTCTATTGGCCAGACCAGTGAAAGGGGAATGGGATGTTTGCAGCTTTCATCCCCTCCTCTTCTTTGCTTTCCCCAAGTAAGCTTTTGGGGGGTAGAGAAAACTGGATACAGTTACTGTTTGGCTGTAAGATGGGAGGAGGGAAAGGTAAACCCAGCCAATCTATTTGCATAGAGGAGAGTGGACTTCAGATGCTGGGTATCCATGCCCAGAGTTTCAGAAATAGGACAAAGGGTGAAGGGCTGAGTCATGAGAAACATTTCACAGTCCAGGTGTGCTTTTACTTGAAGGAAAAAGAAACCAGTAGGCAGTCTTCCTTCCAATCCCTGCTACTTCACTGACCCAGAGACCTCTTGCCTGGGGGTGTGGCTTTCTAGAAACTACCCTGAAGAGCTTGCAGGTGTCAGTCTGAGCCTTCCCCTGCCACTCCCACCATAGGTGCTGGCTGCAAGTAATCTGACAGAAGTCTCAGTGATTATGTCCAAGTGCTCACACTTTATTACATAGGGCATGGGAGCTATGGAAGAATTTGAGCATAAGGTTTACATATTATTTAAATTCTATGTTGGTAAGATTTAAGGGGCAGAATGTGTAAAATGATTTTGTTGAGGACCTTCACTTATTAATCATCTTCTCTATCAGTTTTCAAGAAGTCCATAGCTTTGCCTCAGGCAAGACTTTGCCATGGAGCCCGCTGTGTGCTGCCATGGCTAGCTGCCACTCTCTGATCCTTCTCAACGGGACCATCCAGGGAGACCCACTGGACCTCAAAATGTTTGAGGGCACTGCCTGGGTAAGGTGATAGTTTCTTGGTGCGACTAAATGAGAAAAACTTGAAGAGATTCTTACTGGGAGTGGTAAAGCTTTTCTAACTTCGGTTGAAACCCAGAGAAGACTTATAACAATATGTGATTGAAGGTCTGACTGTTCCCAAATTTCTGGATCTATACGCAAAAGAACTCTATTAATGAGTGCAACATGAAAGTGTTCCATGATCAAATAATTTGGGGGAACTGCTATTTTAAGAATGTAAAGTGGATTTCTTAACTATGGGATTTCTTTAATATATTGTGGTACACTATGAATATTCAAGAGTGACTATGATATGCAGCGTTTATCAAGCCTACTTGACCACAAAATCTTGACGGGCCAAAATATGGTACAATGACGCTCTTTAACACCCTCAGAGAAACAGTAGTCTAAAGCAGTACTATTTAGCATGGTAGCCACTAGCCCCATGTAACTATCGACTACTTGAAATGTGGCTATGCAACTGAGAAACTGAATTTTCAATTTTATTCACTTTAATTGATTTAAATACAAATAGCCACAAGTGGCTGGTAGCTACTGTGTTAGACCTCATAGGTCTAGACACCAAACTGAAGGTCCCCCACTCCAATTGGCTCAGTTTTCTGAGGTGAGTGTGAATGAGAGTTGAAGGGTATAAAACCGTCCTGGTGGCCATCATGACATGGTGGGCAGACCTCTCAACTCCACCACTTTCTAGCTCTGTGACCCCAAAACCGGAACCAAGACTCCGCGTCTGTTACCTTCATGCGTGCTCTTGTGATAATGATGCCTCATTCACAGACTTGTCGTAAGCATTGAACTTATGAGCCTACAGGGGCTGCTTGCATTGTAAAGTGCCCAACAAGTGGAAGGCACACATTCATTCATTCACTATTTAATTAATTATATTATTCTGCCCTCAAAAAATAAATTTTAAAGCTACTGACAGTGATACATCAACTACAGGACAGCATTTAAACAGAATGGTGAAGGGGTGAAAACAAATGATTGCAGGGACATGAAATACACCTCACAAAAGATAATTTAAAGATGTAGAGTGGAAAAGAGCAGCTTTCTAGAAGCCAAAGTAATGGAAGAAGAAACCTGGTTAGCAGGGAAATTTCTGATATCAGTAAGTTAAAATTTGAGCATGTGCTGTGGAGAAATTTTTGACATAAAGACAAAGCAGTGATCACTTTCCTGGATCTTACAGGGGAGTTATTGGTGTAATCCTTATAAACAATGTCTGTAGCAGCATCATTTGAGCTGACACAATGATGAGCTGCTTAGGGTCAATATTTACTGTATGTGACTTTGATCCTGGTTCTAACAGTGCCTCTTCTCCATCGAGGGGGTTTGATCTATTTGTACAAATAACTTACAAGTTGGGGTCTTGCATGGGAACATAAATCTTTAATATTAGCTCTATAATAAGAATTGTCTTTAAGAACAATGGTATCCACCCCAAACAAAGCATGAAAGTGCAAGGTGATTCACTGAGTTTAAAGCTGGGTGAGAAGCAGCCTCCAGTTAAATATCCTTTGGTGGTTAGGAAACTTTCATGAAACATAAGGGGGAGGGGAAACATCCTTGTAGACTCTAAGAATTTTAGCTCTAAAAAGGATATCAGAATATTTTTCAGGAGAAATTTGAGATCTGGAGAAATGGAGTAATGTTCCCAAGGTTAAACAGGTAAGTGAAAGAGCAATGGCCAGATGTAGTCTCCTATTTTCTGGTTTGTACAACAAATTTGTACAATGGATGGCCTTTTCCATATTTTTGGTTAATATCGGTTTCTCAGATGATATAACTTACACTGTTGTAACATCCAAGGTATACAAACCATTTTCAAATATGCATTCTAATTTGCTAACAACTAACTTGCTAATTCTCTAGCTAACCAATTTGTTTAGTAACATAAATATAGAATAAGAAATAACCCCATGTTTATCTCAAGATCATGTTTATCTGAGGGCTAATGTGCTCAGCTCTATTAGCGAATAGATCTCTACATAAACTCTCGTCCAGTTACTAGACATACTAATTAGGAAGAGCCATTGGCCTATACCTAACATTTCTTCCATCAGTTACTACTTAAATGATAGTCACAATATTTCTGGCTTTTTGACATTCTACAATAAGGTCCTTAATCTAAATCAATGCAACAGAAATTTGACAATGATGGTATTCAGATAATTGGCGTAGAAGAGAAAATATGTGAAAGAAGCTTTGAAAAGATTAAAGTGCTATACAAATGAGAGGTATTTCTTTCTTCTTATTTTTCTCTAAGGAATCTTATGAATGTTCTCATTTTAAAACAGATAATGGAAGATTGCAATGCAGACTATGGTAAATTTGGGATGTCAGATTCAAACATCGTAATAAAACCAGGACCAAAAGCCAGTTGGGTATGATTTGCTTTTTTAAATCAAATGGTTTTTTCTCCTTGAAATTGGTAAATTTCTCCTGACTTTCATGTATTTTTATATTCCTATTATTTTGCCTTCTCCTAACAGTATGCATAGGTTTGCTCATTCCTTCAGTCCTGAATATGTCCTTTAATTTATTAATGAATCTGTCCTTTAATTTATTCAACAAACATTCATGGAGTGCCTATGTGTGCTAGAGCACTATGCTATGTGCTAAAGGACAGAGTGAATTCAGAGCTAGACGTGTTGGCCTCTGTGTTGGAGGAATACATGGGTGGGTAGAAAAATCCATATAGGTGCAAATAAGTGCAAGACAATGTGTCAAGTGCTATAATAAAGGCCGAAGAAAGGGCTACATGGGTCCAGAGGTGGGAGTGAATACTGTTTCTGAGAGAGAGAGAAGCATCACAGATGAAGTGACCTGTTAACTTTGCCTGGAAGATAATTAGGATTTCCCCAGGCAGCCATGGGGAAGGGCCCTGCAGTCCAGACAATTTGATGAGGGAATCACCTTAGAGACAGGCAGAAAAGTATCAATGTTGTGACAAATACACCACTTCGTTATGTCCCTAGGTTCACTGCAGAGCAAACCCTGTTGGTGTGCACCTGCTAAATTTCACTTATAGGCATCTTAAGCTCCCCTTTCTTGGTGCTCTCACAGAGTCCTGTGGAAGCCATAGCCATCTTGCGCCAGTTTCCATTCTCCTCAAGTCTGCAGAGGATGTCTGTGGTCACTCAGGTGGTCGGGGAGGATCACTTCCATGTCTACATGAAGGGTGCCCCGGAGATGCTGGCCAAATTCTGCAAGCCTGACACAGGTACTCATTTAACTGACCCTGTTCTCTTTTAGGAGGTAAAATGTTTTAGAAATCCGAATACATAAAACACACAAGTCTAAATCAATGAATACATCTGATAAGGCAGAGGTGAGAATTTCAAGGCAGAAAGGCAGAGAGTAAATATCTGACTTCGGTCCATCCAGAAAAGTCCAACCACAATGGGGTGTCAGGGAAGGACATATGAAGCAGCCACCAGGAGCCAAAACAGGAAGCTATATAAGGGTCTCCAGAAGGGCAAGAATGAGGAGCATGCACTGGGAACCAATGGGACAGGTCTGGACCCTGCACTCATCCTGCGGCTGGGGTGCTCCGCCCGCCCCCCTCTGGGGGCTGACACTATGTAAGCGCTTGTGCAGATCAATGGAAGGAGAATATAGACAAGATAAATCTCTTACCAAAAAAAGTGATTGGAGTAAATTAGATGGTATTAGAGCAGTGTAATTGATCATTTTCATAGCAATTTCATCTTTCTGGGACAGATTTTGAGTTGATTTGTATTGTTTCTTAGTCTTATAAATATATGCGCCCTCTAAACGGCAGCCCAGATTTGTAAGAATATTGTTGCATTCAAATGAGTTCATTTGGATAAAATTGGTCTTTTTCTCCTGATTTTCATCTATATTCTCCTTATGATTGCTGATAACCATCAACTTGTGCACACAATTCCAGATTTGGCAAATGATTGCTTTAAATTCTGCCTCCTATTTAGAGCCATTTTTACCTTGGAAGCGGCCCCTTTTTTCTGACTTTGATCTTTCTCAGAGCTCCCATTACCTCTATCACTCTATCCTTCACAGACTGATGTCCTGTATTTTGCTTTTTAATTTTTTTTTCCTCACAGATACAAGTGAGTATCTTCTTGAAATTCTAACCAATGACTATTGCCCCTGTTCTATTGTGAGGGTTTGGGCCTGTCACTTCTCACCTCTCATCCTTCTGGTAGAACTTTCAATTTTTCTTATTGTTCTTATCTCAGATCTTTGACATAGGCTAATAAGTCTACAGTGATTTCTTCCCCTGTATTTAAGAAAGAGAGAGGGCCAGGATCTTCTTCAATCCCCGCCTCCTGGAACATTTTAGAACTACAGAAAGTCTGAGCTGAATGGGGACATAGAGTTCCGTATCCCCTCATTCTATGGATGGGGAAATTAAAGTATAGAAGAGAGACCTAACAAGCCCAAGGTCAGAGATCTAGTTAGTGGTAGTGTGGAGACTAAAAATTAGGTGTTTTGTTACCTAAGCCACAATGTACTTCCATTATGCTGTGCTTCTTTCTAATACCCTTATAGGCATTCTACAAACCATAAAGATTTTGTAAGTATTTTAACAGTAGTTATGACTACTATGCCAAAATACACAAATGTTAGCATTGTATCATCTGTCATCTAAAGCAGGGATTGGCAAGCTTTTCTGCAAAGAGCCAGGTAGAAAATATTTTAGGTTTTGCAGGCCACATGGTATTGTCTCAACCACTCAACTCTGCCATTGTGACTCCAAAGTCATAGATGGTAAACAAATGGGCATGGCTGCATTTCAATAAAACTTTATTTTAAAAAACAAGTAATGGGCCTGGTTTGGCCAGTAGTTTGCTGACTTCTAGTCTAGAGGATTGGCTGTTTCCCTTGTTTTACCCAGGTAGACCCAGTCCTGAGGCCTGTCCTTATAAACCTAGCCAGGGGATTTGACACCCAGTTGATGACCAGTGTAGCTTTGGCATTCATTTCTGTCAGAATAATAAGATCACATTGATGAAGTTGTTTGTGGATTTTAGTTGGAGCTTTAGTTTTTCTATTAAAGTGTTTTCTGGAGTTTTAAAACAAGGCACAGTGACTGGATCCCAGAGTCTTGTTTAGGAGCTGGGTAGCCTTCAATGTGACCTTACACTTACCTCTTTCCTCTCACCTGACAGTACCCAAGGATTTCCCACAGAAACTGAGGAATTATACAGTACAAGGCTTCCGTGTTATTGCCCTTGCCCATAAAGACTTGAAGATGGAGAAGCTTTCAGAATTACAGAATTTAGCCCGGTAAGGAACTCAGAAATCAGCACTAGAGCAGGCTCTGTGTGCATCAAGTAAGTGAATGCTGGAGACGGACAACAGGGCAGCTCAAATCACAGGGAAGCCTCCTGGAGATGGAGACTCATCTCCTCCAATCTCCTAATTTGGAGATAGGTGACTCTAAGCCACACTGGGGAAGACTTGCTGAGGTCACAATGCCGGTTGGAGGTAGAACAAGGATGGCAGTCCAGATCTCCTGACTCCCAGACGTCAGTGAGCTATCTCTGCCCTACATTCCAACATCCCATCAAAAATAACCGACCCTCCTTCAGCCTGGGAACATTATGTGGCTGACTCACTGGGGTCCCATCTCCTTGAAAGAAGGAGACAATGGGCACTGTGATGGACCTCCAGCATCCTTCAGACCTGGCTTCTTCCAGGGCTCAATAGTACATCTCCCTCAGTTCTGGAGAGATAGTGAGTGTAAGTTGAGTTATATGAAATAGAATTCAGTATTCTTCATTACATTAAGGTTATAAATCATCCTTATTAGAGGATAATCTGCAGATTCTTTTTTTTCTTTTAATGTTTCTCAGTTTTTAAAGGTTATTTTTGAATTGTCTAAGACAAAGGAATAGTGAAATACTGTGGAAAATTGAATAACAAATTATCTATGCATTATTATCTTTGATTTTGTGTTGCTGATAGAAAGACCCTCATTTATATTCAATTAACACCTTTGCATAAGATGTGGATATCCTTGGTTCAGTGTAACTATTTGCAACCTATGTCCATCTGCTATAATGGAATCGTTGTCTCTTCTTTATGCTGTGTCTATTTCCCTCATCTCTAAAGTGTAGGATTGGATGATCTTCAAGGAGACTTTCAACCATGACATTTTAATCTTCTAAATAGAATTGCAAAGATCATTTTGAAATAAATGAATGGCACTGTCAGATTTAATATTCAAGAATATTCATTCTTAAGCAAGCATGAAGACCCATTACACACAGGATTTTGTAATTTTTCAAGACAAAACAATTTTAATAACAAAAGCTAGGGTTATGTGTGAAAAAAAAAGTTGATGTATTTAGACAAGGAGGATAGCCATCACCCAGCTGCCACATACTAATACAGCTGTGATGCTCTCATTTAAAAGTAACTAGTGAGATAGCTATTATTATAAATATAACAAAATAAGAAAGTGATGATACAATGTGCTAGATTTCCAACCTTTCATATTTTCATAGAGAATATCAACCCCCTATTATGTTTCTTAAAATTTAGTTACTATTTTCAAACAGAGAAAAGGAAAAGTGTTTTGAGTTTTAGCACAATCAAATTATATTTAGCAAAGTTTCCCAATCAGGAAAATCAAAAGCTTCTTTAAAAAATGGTATCATAAATGGGAAGTAGAAGAGTTTCTTTTTTTTAAGGAAAAAAAGAAAAGAAAAGCAAACTAGAAAACAGAAGCAGTACTTTTTCAAAATTCCCTCTTTCATTGGTTTAGCAAATTTCTATTGAGCTTGACTCTGTGTGATGCTCTTCAGGACACGGAAAATTCAGAAGTGAATAAAACAAAATCTTTGCCCTCAGAAGCTTATATCCTAATTAGGGGAGATAGATAATAATGCCATTTTACATGGGGTGATCAGCAAGTCCTCTGAGGAGGTGACATTTGAACAGAGAAATGCATAAAGTAGGGGAGCAATGCATGTGGATATCCGGAGGAAGAGCACTGCAGGCAATAGGAAGAGCGGTACAAGTGCTGACACAGGATCTTGCTGAGAATGTTGCAGAGTACAAGAGGCCTAAGTGCCTGAATTGGTGAAAGACAGAAGAGTCATAAAATAGAGATCAAAAACAGAATAAACTGGTGAGAAGATTTCTGGATCTTTCTTTTAGTTCTAAGTAATTAGAAAATATTAGTCCAATCTGTAATAGAGACTCATGAAGTTAAATGATGGGAATTTAGCACAATCTATATTAGATAGATCTTCTTTTATAATATTCTCCTGAGGTCACTAAGGCATGATTCATATCTAATTATCTGAGTATTCCCCAAAGTGCCTACTATTTGGTCTAAAACAGAGTAGTTATTTGGTGAATGGACTTTTGAATGAAGATGTAGTAACTTGCTCTCTACTCCAGAGAGAAGTTTCTTCACCATGTTCCCATCTAAGTTTGAGTTATATTTTTCACCAGGACATCCAACTCTGATCTTTCTTTTCTCATGTGTTTACTTCCTCTCCCTCCCAGTTCTACCAACATGATAGAAAAGAAACAATATCAAAGAAAACTAGACAAGTGATAAGTACAGATGAGAGATTTCTGTACCTTTCTGTAAGATGTGAAGTAGGTGGGGTGCAGGGGAGAGGCAGCTGAATCAGCAGATGGAAGAAGTATAGTCTACACCACACCAGAAAGAGAGATGGCAGGAGAGGGAAGTGGCTTCACCCTGTGGAAGCTGAGAGGCTGTGACTCAGCTCTGTCATATACTGTGGAAGATGGAAGTGGGACAGGACCCAACATCAGGGTTGACCATAATCTCCCTCTCCTTCTTCAAACTTAACTCCTCTCTGGACAGAAAAAGAAACGATGCAAGATTAAGAAAGAGATCTTGGTCCCACATTTACTTTTTAAAAGGTCTCCTTTCCTGAGGAGTTGTCCCACATAATGAATGCAACCCAGTTAGATTCCAAGTTTCCAATTTCAAACTCTGAAAACTTTTCAAATGTTTGGCTGATGTCATGTATTTTCTGGAGGTTACAGATGGAGGTTGAAATGAATGATTCCATATTCAACTATTACCATAGTATTTCATATGCAGTACATACTTAATCAATGTCTAAAATAATTACAAGGTCAAAAAAGTTCTTTGAAATAAATAAATATATATATATGATTAATATGACATGCATATATGATTAACAAAAGGTTTTGAAAACAACAAAAGAGTTGTTAGATAAGCACATTAAAAACAAAATTTTTAAAAACAACAAAAGAGTTGTAGATAAGCACATCGCTTTTAAAAATGAAGTTGAAACTGGGAGAAGTTGCTAAAAGATATAGAAGTGCTTTCCTCTGGGAAGCTGAAGGGGAGAGGGTGTCTGGAGACAAGGACTATTGGTTTTCATCACAAGCTTTGGGTTCTTTCTTTCCGATTTTTAAAACATATGCATGTGTTACATTGATAAAACTTAGAAAAAAAATTTTTAAAAGGAAGAAATAAAGTTCAATTGTCAAAACTACATAAATAAGCTTTAAAATTGATTTTCTCCTGAATCCAAAGAGAGAAAGCAGAGTCAGAGTTGACATTTCTGGGACTTCTCATAATGGAGAATCGGTTGAAAAAGGAAACCAAACCAGTCTTGAAGGAACTGAGTGAAAGCCCGCATCAGGACGGTGATGATTACTGGTGTGTGTTTCTGGAGCCCTGAAACATTCAATGTATCCCAGGAATCAGAAAAGACCATGTGAGCTGAGTGGGTTCAGGTGGCTAAGATAGAAGGAAAAATGCTTAGCCGTCATTTGTTATCTTGGGCTCCCATTACCCGGGCATAAGTGCAGTAGCCCTAATATAACCATATATTTTGGTGGCAGGGACCATACTTCATACTCTATGTCTCATGTCCCCTCTCCCTACCCAGGCTTGGCACAATGCTAGTCAGCTCACAGTAAATGTTTAAACATAAGAATAGATATGTGATCACCAGGAACCTTAGTGAGACTTCTGTGTAAAGGGTATAGAGACTCTACTGGACTGTCCTGCAGGGCTGTGGACCAGGCGGTCATAGGCTGATCTAAAACAAGCGTGGTGCAACTTGCAGCGTTCTGTTCTCTGTTTGACAGCAATCCGGATCCCCAAGATGGTTCCATGCTATCAGAGTGGGCCCATGTTACCTTCAACCACTCAGGGCTGTCAGTCTCCTGAGAGCGGTCATATATTGCCTAACCATATCTTTCTTCAGTCCTGCATGTTTTGGGAATATGCAATGTTCTGGACATGATGTTATTATGGGAGGGAGATGCAGACATAGTTTTTGACCACTAGGGACAGACAAGCTTGGGCAAGAGATGCTGCCCAAGTGGTTATAAATTTATAACAAGTGGTTATAAAATAAGGCAGAGAAAGGGAAATGCCCCCAAAGAGCACCAGCAATGTAGTATGGACACTCAGAAGAGGCAGAGCTCAATTCTGGCTGCTGAGAGATTAATACAGAAGCAAGCTCACTCTCTTTGTCTTCTAGGTGACAACCTTCAAACAGCTATTACTGTGGCAAAGAATTCTGAAATGATTCCTAGAGGAAGCCAAGTGATCCTTGTTGAAGCCAATGAACCAGAAGATTTTGTTCCTGCCTCTGTGACTTGGCAACTGGTCGAGAACCAAGAGAATGGCCTGGGGAAGAATGTGAGCAAATGTCAGAAGGCCCCTTGGTGGCCTGCCCTGATGGCATATAGCCCTGGTCCCAGCAACCTAATCTCACCATTAGAAGTCACCACGGTCGAAACCCCTTACAGCTGTCCAGAGTTCTGCAACTTGCAAAGCATTTAGCATTTCCACTAGCACGTCTCAGCCCTGGCTATGCGAAGAAATCACCTGGAAGAGTTTTTGAGCTTCCAGTGCCAAGGCTTTATTGATTAAATCCAAATCTCTGTGTCGGGAGCTTGCAGCAGCCCTTTGCTCCCCAAGATTCTGATATGCAATCGTGACTGGGAATCAATAATTTACATCCATATTTCCCATTTGATTTTCACAGTTAGCTTATACAGTTGACAAAATGTTCATTTTGCAAATGAAAAAACTGAGGCCCAGCAAGGTAAGCTTACCCAAGACACACAACTGGCAAGTTGCAGAGTGGGAAATAAAATTTAAGTCTGTCTGATTGCACCCAGAACCATGGGCATTTAGATTGTGCTGTGCCTGTGACATGAAGTTAACAGGTGTTGGGCTTCTCTAGATAACAAGTTTCTTATGCTTTTGTGAAGAAAATGAGCTGCAGCCTGACATCCCATCCTTAAGTGTAATGCCTCTGCCTACACGGGAGTTCAAGGAGGTGGTTCTTCAGGTGGCAAATTACAAAAATGCTCCCTTCCTTGAGGCTGACCAGCCTTTGGCTTGTTAAGTGTAGAGTAGGCCTTGTTCAGTATACAAACTGCACAACTGTACAGAGTGACTTTGTCCTTACTTGGCTCAAATGCCTTTGCATTGGCTGTAAAAGATGGCAGCTCTCTATATGTTTTGCAGATTTCTGGTGCTTATTTCCTTGCAAACTCACTTGCTTCTGTGTCAATACATGTTGCCTCAATTGCACTGTGTGATAAAACTCAAGTCTTCATTAGTTTTTTTTTTTTTTAAAGAACAGTCTGCATTCATTTTTAACAAATAGTCCATTCACACTACCCATTCACCTGTGTAATACCTTTAGTGAATTTTTAGTCGTTGCTGGGAGAAGTCACATCACAGTCTCAGGCTTTTTCCTCCTCCCTGGCTCCCCACCACACTTTTCTTCTCCAGTTTTTCAGTGAAAATAAAAGGAATTCTGTCTTTACCTCATGTAGAATTCTTTAAGCATATCCTTTATTGGCTGTTTTGCATCGGGGACTGGAAAGGGAGGGCTCTATCACTTTGCCTCCTAATTCAGTACATCAAAATATTTTTCTTCCCAAAACAATGCTTTTCCTCAGATGGATCCCTCTAATGAAAAAAAAATGTTCTCACCTTTTATACCATTTGAACTCAGAGTCCTACACTAATGTAAAGACCTCAAGAAGTGTTGCATTAAAAAGCATGATCAGAGGGGCACCTGGGTGGCTCAGATCGTTAAGCATCTGCCTTCGGCTCAGGTCATGATCTCCAGGGTTGTGGGATCAAGCCCCATATTGGGCTCCCTGTTTAGTGGAGAGTCAGCTTCTCCCTCTCCCTTTTCTCCTGCTCATGTTCTCTCTCTCTGTCTCAAATGAACAAATAAAAATCTTAAAAAAAAGAAAAGCATGATCAGCTGTGGTTATGATGAATGTATATGCATTCACTGGGAGCTCTCTTTCGAGGTTGAGCCAGGTGGGACACATTGACATACAGAGGGCAGGAGAGAAGGGTTTCAGCAAAGGAGTCGAACTGGTGCAATGACACCTAGGGTATGCAAGAGATGCTGGCCACTGTGAAGGAATGTGTCACCTGTTGAGGTGGGGAGAAGGCAGGTGCTATCAGGAATTAGGCTCCAAAGAAGAAGTCTGCCTTTTTTACAGAAAAGATATTGGGGCATGATATGTGAATGAATGAATGAATAGTAAAAGATCTTAGAAAATTAAAGTCTGCATGAAGAGGAGAAGAAAGAGAAGGGAAGAATGTTTTCTGTTCTTCCTTGGAATCGCTAAGTGATACCTTGGAAGGATTTCCTCAGTAGACCGATAGCACATGTATTATCTCCTGGGACAGAATCCCAAACATTATGTTGTCAATGTCTCATATGTTCATATAATTTGGGGAGGACATTGTAAGCATCTTCTTCATCTGTATCTACGTTCCATGGACAATTACACATTATGTATTTGCTGGTCCTCCCACTGTTACATAATTTAAACATACTTCCTTCTATAAAACATAGGAAAGCAGAAACATTCCCTGAGAACCCATGTGAAAACCATCCTCTTTTGAATTTAGGAAACATACCTTAACATTGGGAACAGTTCAGTGCCTGATGGAGCAAGAGGGAGCTGTTACCATTTTGCAATGAGTGGGAAATCATACCAAGTGATATTTCAGCATTTCAACAGCTTGCTTCCAAAAGTAAGTACTGGTGAAATGAAGTGTTTTGTTTTGCCTCAAATTAGTGAGTCAAAAAAGCAGAGAGTAGTGAAGGTGATAATTAGTGAGGTTGTCTCAGATTTGGGGAATATACACCCCCAAAGGGGCACTGTCCCTTCAGGAGTTCCCCAGACCTACCTGGTCCCACATATGCACATGACCCCTTCTTCAGAGTCTGAGCTCTGGTCCAGCTCCTCACCCCCATGGCCAACCCAACCTCACGCTTCCTCCATCTCTCCCTCCCTAGCAGGGAGAACCTCCAAATAGTTTCAAATGTGCTGCCTGTTTTGTGGGTCAGCCTCTCTCAAAAAGCCACCAACTCAATGTCAGGCTGAGCTCTATTCCCTGTCCTGTCTGGATTCTTAAATTACAGCCGCAGGAAACAAAGGCTTCATGGTTTATTTTCAAAATCATTTGTTATCTTGTCCTCTGTGTGTCTATTTAAAAATAGTGCTGTGCAGGGTTGTGCTATCAGTGTGAAGGAGATAAGTGTGAAGCACAAGCTGAGGGCAGAAACCATCTGTTAGCGGTTTCTTGAAAATTCTGTCGCCTTACCAGTCAAGGACCATTGAATCTCAACCCCAGAGGCTTCTAGAAAGCTGTTAGTGTAGTTCCTCTTTGAGGAGATGGGGCAGCTGAGACTCAGAGAGGTTAGGTCCCTTGTGGAAGGTTTGCCGGGCTAGTTGGACCAGAGCGGAGAACAGAACCTTTGTTCTCTACTCCTCATCTGTTGTTTTTCCTCTACCTATACTGCAGTTGTGGAGATGGTGTTTAGTAGAAAGAACTGTATTTCCTTAAGCATTTTCATCCCATATGCTCTGCTGCTTTCCGGTTATTAACTCAAGGTTATCCCATTTCAGAAAAATGGCCTGGAAGAAAGACATAAAGTCGTGATGGGGGATGAAAGTGAAAGCTGAAAAGTAAAGCACTGAGTCCCCTTTCTCCCTGTCCTGACATTTGCGCTAATGACACACCTCCCAAGGCTATATTCGAACAGAGGCCAGAAATGATTTTCAGGGCTGTTCTTTAACTTAAAAGGTGTTCCTCATCCTAATCTTATTTCAATAGTTGTTTTTCTCTTCAGATTCTGGTGAATGGAACCATTTTTGCAAGAATGTCTCCTGGACAGAAATCTAGTCTTGTTGAAGAATTTCAGAAATTAAAGTAGGTATTATTGCATGAAAGGAGAGTGTATTCATTATCTATGGCTGTGTAGCAAATTACCTCCAAGTTTACTAGTTTAGAATAACATTATTTATTATTTTTCATTTCTATGGGTCAGAAATCCAGGTGTACTGAGTGGAATCTTCTGGCTTGGGACCTCTCACAAGGCTGCCATCAAAGGTCTGCCAGGACAGCAGCTCCCTCAGCACTGGAGTTGGAGGGGACTGCCACCAGTCTCCCTTGCATGTTGTTGGCAGGATTTAGTTCCTTGTGTGTGGTTGGGCTAAGAGTCCTAGTTTTCCATTGGCTATTGGACAGAAGCCACCCACAGCTCCTTGCTACACAGGTCATTTCATAAGGCAGTTCACAGTGTGGTGGCTAGCTTCCACAAGAGTGAGCTAGAGAGATCCCCATTTTTAATAACCTCATCTTACAAGTGATATCCCATCACTTTTGCTGTATTCTCTTCATAAGAAACGAGTCAGTAGGTCCAGCCCACACTGAAGTTGGGACTTAAACAACATTATGAATACCAAGAGGTGGCAATCGCAGAGAGCCATTTTGGAAGCTGACCACCCCTGACAGCATTTCTCTATAGCATAACGTAGAGGAAGATTCTCAGCTTGAATGTGGAGAATAGAAAAAATAGGGGCTTGCATAGTTTAAAACAGGAAAAATGGGGAAGTGTGGGAGTCGTCACCTGGAATTATTTAAGGTTGGTTCATTAGAGGATAGGTGAATAATTTCAGGTCTTCTAGGAAAGAGGTGGAGTGATATTTTCACTGTATCTGGCCCTGGCAGGGGTTTAGGTATAGAGGCAAAAAGAAAAAAAAGTCCTTTCTTATGTATTTTAAAAACATAGATGACCGAGTCACATCAGAACAAAATAGTTCTTGAGACCAGACCTACCTATAACTTTCTGGGAATGTTAAAATTTCTGGGCTACAGACTTCAGGAAGGTAAAAAGGAAAAGAGAATAGTGAAACTTCACATAATTGCCAAGAAGTAGTAGGTAAAATCAGGAGACTGACTTTCACTATTATTTTTTGTTGTCAAACATTCTTAGGGAAGTTTTAAGAAACTGCCTATCAACTCCTATAATGCCTTGAAGCTGGGTTAGTAACCAGTGTCTAAAATGACTATTTTACTTACATGGTCATTATATGATAGTGGCTGAAGAAAGTGATTTTACCTTTCTCAAATGCCTAAGATATTTTACCAATTTATATGCTTACTTTTGAAAAGCTATATTTCCTTTAAAATCGATTCAGGAAGATAGATGCTGCCTCAGAATAAGCCCTCTTCTTCATTTCCCCATCTTATTCCTCCTGTCTTTATCACTGGCAATGCACATAAAGTTGTCCAAGTTCTTGTCTGCATTCAGGGAACACTAGAAGATGTAAGATTCTTTGTGTGATGTAAAGACTAATCATGGGCTTCAAGCCTGAAGAATGGAAGCCACTTCAGCAAATGTGTGTGGTCATGACACTCATGTGAGCACATGAAATGTTCATGGGGGATCTTCATGTCTCCCATCCAAATATTAGGTCGAACCTCATGTGTTTGTTTCCATTTGACCATTTCGACTTATAAAAATGAATATTTCTTATGTTCCAACTAATAATAAGGAAATTTCTGAGAACTTCATTTTTTGCCTGTATTAATTTTGTTATTTTGTGTGTTTCTGGCAAATTGTCTCTGAACCTTTAATAGATTGCCATTAATCAATACCCATAACATATTATTTAACCTATAAGAGAAGACAAGAGTATGTCCTGCATCAGAAATTCCTTTTGTTTGGCAACAGCTTTATATTTATCTTCTATTTATATCATTGTGTTTGCACATCAACTGGTATAACATGTTATCTCATATCACTCCAGGTTGCACCAAGATTATGTGTCTATGTCTCTGGTTTTATCTGTTCAACCATTTCCAAAGTGTTTCTCCTCCTCGTGTCTAAACTCTGAGGTTTCCATGCTGTCAGCCACCAAAACACAGATGGATTATGTTCTATCTGTGTGTTAGGTGTGGAAAGTGCTATGATTATGGTTGCACACTCTAAGGCTTAGCCCTAGTTGATACAATCACCCAGGACTTCTTACAAAATGTATATTCATCTTGGTGGATGTCTTTGGCAGAATCACTATACTTTCCATGTGGTTGAAACAATTTAGATAACACAATGGCCTTATTTGTCTAGGAATACTTCTCTCCCAGTCATTTTCTGTCAGCCTGATTCCACATGTGTTCAAAACACACACACACACACACACACACACTGCATGCAAGTTGGTTGTGATGAAAATTATCCAAGTGAGGCATTAAGGCATTGATTTTTCTCATGGTTTCCCTTGCAGTTACTATGTGGCCATGTGTGGAGATGGGGCTAATGACTGTGGGGTAAGTAGAAATGACTTCAACCAATGCAGGTGGTTCCCCACTGTCCCTCTCGAGGACCCCACAGTTCCCCAGGGTCTGTCTCTTCACCCTTCTGTCAGCAATCACTTCATCAGTCTGCTGTTTACATTCCCCACACCTGAGTGTGAGCTGGACACTGAGAGGCATAAAGTCCGACGAGCCATTTCTGTTTTCTGACAACTCCTAGAATAAGAAGGACAGTGAAAGTCTACTTAGACTTCTGTGGTTCAGACCCAGAAGGGACTTTTCACGATGAGCTGGTTTAAATCGCTCATGTTACCAATACAGAAGTGAATCTCAAGGAGGTGAATTCTTTATTCTCTTTCTTTTTCTTCTCTTTTGTTTCATTTTCATTTTTATTTATTTATTTATTTTGGCTCAAGTCACACAACTTGGTAAAGGCTTAGTGAAGAAAACATTGGAAACAGATGGTTTAAAGTTTTGAATTATGTATAAACTGCATTTTTCCCCTGCTAAACTTCCCCAAGGTTGGTTTTAAAAGTTGGCTTTAACCCCAAATTCTTACCATCACTGAAATCATAGACCAAACTATTTGGCTATTACAAACTATAGCAAAAGCCTAAATTAATGATTCTCAGCTGATTGCATTCCACACACAATAGAAGGCAGCACATATTTTGGATTCTGAGTTGGGAAGGTATGTTGAAACCATAGCCTACCTTGAAAATAAGGAAATATTTTTAGTACAAAATTTTCAGTACAAAACTGAAGAGTGTTGCTTTGTGTTTCTGAAGTCTATTAGATATTTGAGATCTGAGTAGTTGTTTTACTTTCTTTTTACATATTTTCTTCAAAGTGCTATGGAAAAACTGCTCACACTTAAAGATCTCTTACACATTTTTCTACCTTACGCTTCATGAGAAGCCAGTTGTTAGTTTGCTTTTCAAAACCTAGAATGAGTACCCATTGCCATAGTTATGTAGAATTTAGTACAAAAGAAATAAGTGTTAAAAAGGACATAGTCTCTGTCTCCTTAAAATTCATTATCTAGTCAGGGTAAGAATCTTGCATAATATTAACCGAAGCATAAAGTAGATAGTCCTAAAATATGCAATAAAGAAACCAAATACTAAAGGAGAAAAGAGGAAGAAGCAAATATTCTAATATTTATTGAATAGGAATTTAGCATGTACCGGCCGTGGTAACAAGGTACTTTGCATGCTACAGAACTACAGAGGTACGAAATCCCATTTTATGCTCATACAATTCTTGTAGGATTAGGAACTTGCTGGCCTGCTAACTAGCCATTGTCTGTTCTGTGCACTCTTTGGGCTGCTTCTCGTCTTGATGAGAATGAATTAGCCTTTATTTCAGTGAGGAAACACATGTCCTGGAGTGATCTGTGATGTATATGATCCCGTCCCTGTCTCCAGTGAAGATGCTTTCCGTCCCGTACTTCATCCCAGCAGTTAGCTGGTTGGCTAGATCAGGCTACCCAGGAAAAGATGAGGATTAGATAGCTTTTCCTTTTGTTCATGAAGATAGCCTGCTGCGTGGTAAGAACTGTGACAGCCCCCACAAATGTCCACCCAAATGCTGTCATCTTTTTCATGGACTATTTGAATGAATGCTTCCATTTTCTTATCACATCTACATCCCTGCAACCAACGCGTGCACACACACACGCACACACACACATACACACACGAACACACCCACCACTCTCCTACATTGAGGTCATTGTTTAGCTGGTCCCTCTTCAGTTGATGACTTTCTGGATCAGGAGAGGGAGGGTACTCCAGGTGGGGGAACAGCATAAGCACAAACCCAGGACTGGAAGGTTACAGTGTTATAAACTTGACAATGTGAAGAATAGCCTCGTGGAGTTGGAAGAGTTAGAACGTGGCCTGAGGAGTCCGGGATATAATGTGGACTTGTCATTCTAGGCTTTGAAAATGGCTCATGCAGGCATTTCGCTGTCAGAGCAGGAAGCATCTGTGGCCTCCCATTTCACCTCGAAAATAGCCAACATCAAGTGTGTGCCTCAGCTCATCAAGTAAGCCACTACTTCCCCTTCCACCCTCATGACTGATGGGCTCCCTGTCTGACTCTGGGCAGAATTCAACATAATTTAAAGCGATAAATGTCCCAACAGAGGTATGGGTAAAATGTTATCAGAGCACCAATTAAGGGACCATCAGTGCTTGGGAATGCTGGTAACAGTCACCCAAAAAGTGACTTTTGCTGAGGCTTACAAGATGAAAGCCTATGCCATGCAAATAGTTGGAAGGTAGAGTTGATATTTAAAAAACAGTTGCATTTCTTACTTCTTCTCTCCCTTATTTTATATGTTGGTTGTATACTGGAACCTTCCTCCCTAGGATTGGGGTGGGTGAGGAAGCACAAAGGGAACACTGCATCAGGTAACTTCCCCAAATAGTGTTACATCTCCAAGATACAAATCAGCGAAAATCCAAAATGATCACATGGAAGACTACATTTGAGGGAAGGTTAAGGAATAAAAACTTGATTTTCACAGTAGCTCCCTCACCTCCACTCAACTCTCATTGCTGATTTTGTCTCTATTCATATTTGAAATGTAGTTAAAAATAAAATATTAAGTTTTATGTTTTGTTCACAAATCTTATTCACCTGTAACACGGTGGGGTAACTTCAGTCTATATTCACAGCCACTGGTCTGAAAGCACCAAAACTTGAGATTTATTCAAAAAGGATGATCATGAAGTTCTCCAGCATGTCCCTTGGTGCATCTGTGTGTCTGAATGGACAGCTACTAGAAGGAGTCATTCGCCTAAATATTCCAGCGCAATTTTTTCCACACCCGCGTCTGTTTACATAGCAGCCAGATAGCTTGACACATCTACCTGATCCCAGGCTGCGTGTACCTGTGTCCTTCCACACCCTGAAACATCAGCACCTCCCCTGCCTCCAGAACATCTCCTCTTCCTAACTCCTGTGTTCTCTGGTTCTTAGAGCCCTGAGAACCTCAGAGCATTTTGAACTCTTTCCCTTCTTCGTCCACAGCCAAGCGAGCATTGTGTTTTCCTGATCTTTCAGAGACTCTCTCCAAGCCCTTTCCTTATTCTCTCTACTGTCTTAACTTTGGTTTATATCATGGCAACTACAAAATGACAGTGCCCAGGACCCTTTCCCTAGATCATGCCTTCCATCATCAACACAACTCATGGAGCTTTTTAAAATATTGTGCTTGGAAATGTGGTGGATGAAGGATGAGACCAATCTTGCCCCTGCCCTGCGCCCCCGCTGCCCCCTCTCCTGCCCGGGTGTGGTCTCCGCGCTCTGCCTCGAACCGGGCGAGCCGGGACCCACGTGGCATCGAGCCTCCCTGCCCGCAAAGTGACAGTTTACAAAATTATTTTCTGCAAAAAAGAAAAAAAAAGTTACATTAAAAAAGTAAAAAAAAACAAAAACAAAAAAAAAAACCACATATTTTATTATAGAAAAAGTATTTTTTTCTCCACCAGACTTAAATGGAAAAGAGGAAAAATTAACTGTTTGCACCAAAATGTTTTGTTTTATTGTGATATAGGACAGTAACCAAGCACAACGTTCTATTCTATACTTTTTATCAATTTTTTTTTCTCTCTGTATCGTCTGCTGTATTCATTTCTCCAATCTCATGTCCACCTTGCTGTGGGAGTGGAGGGGTGGGGGTAGGGGGGTATCTTGTCAAAAGCCACATTGGTGCATGTGTGTTTGCTAGCTCACTTGTCCATGAAAATATTTTATGATATTAAAGAAAATCTTTTGAAAAAAAAAAAAAAGACTCACATCCTAGTAAAGGTACAGATAGATAGAAATCTAATCCTAGAACAGAGACTCTTCTGCCTGATAGGTGAGAAGGGTTCAACAAATTAGTTTTAATGAATTAATGCCCTAACAATATGGTAATTTTTCCAGTAGTTCAGGTTGATGACTTAAGCCAGAAAGGAAGATTTCAGCAGGGGAGTTGGAACTCAAAGGATGGACAGAACATGTGTAAACAGGAAGGAGGTGGGAGAATATTCCAGGTTGGGGAAGTGGAGAGCCATGTTTAGCAATGGGGCTTTGACTTGGGAGTGTAGAAGCCCAATAGCCCAGTTGGGCTAAGGAGCTTCTCAGGTGGGAGTTATGCGGGGTAAGCTGGAGTGCCAAGTGTGGAGAGAGTTTAAACTCTTGGAAAGTTGCACAAAGTGCCTACTTGATCCATCCAAAGGCAGTAGCATTTGAACTTCAGATGCTCTGTCTCACACATGTGACCTAATGCATTTGTGAATGCAGTGTAGTATTTTAAGATCCAAGTCATGATGTAAAATTTCTCTAGTGGCAGATGGTTTAGTAAGACTTCAGGGTAGAAGCTTTTTGCTTTTATATTTCATAGATTCATAAAAATTAGATATGGTTCAGCTCTGTTAGGCTCATTTTACCCTTGATATCCTTGATGCATGCTTATTCCTGGGAAAGCATCCCCCCCGCCAAGGGGCATTGAGGTACAGTTTTAGATGCGTAGATCCACAGGTTCTCGTTTGTATCTTTTGAAACATGATTGACTTGTTGCTCTAGTTGAAGCCCTTCAGGACAAGCACTGTACCTTATTCCTTTTTGTATTATCATGCCCAGTACTAAGCTGGATACATCAGAACATTCGAGGAATGGCTGTGGAATGCATAAATGATGAGTTAGCTTCTTAAAATTCATCATCATTAGGAATAGCGGTAATTTTGGAGGCCTGTGCAAACCTCCCTTATACTTTCCTCAAAATGGCTTTTTGCACTTGCCTTTGAATCTGGGTGCTTTCATTTTTTTCTGGAAAGGTACACACAAAAGGATGAAACCACAATGTTTATGTGAGAAATCGGTCCAGGCTTCACATGCTGGCCCCTCCTCAGCTTGTGGGTTGCTCCATTCTGCATTGAAAACAAAAGGCAGTGCCTTAAAACTGGTGGAAAACATCTGGCCAAGGCATCCTGGCACATCTCTCCCAAACCTTCTTATCGTGTCTAAGGTGAAGCAGTTACTAGTTTGGCTTTTAAGGTTTTCCTTCTTGGGTACCCCTTCTTTTGACAAAGTGTTCAAGCAGTGCAGATGTCCATGCCACGGAGGGAGGACGTGGGCTGCCTCCCATGTGAATTCACTTCTGTCATGACAAGAACAGGCTACAGGAGGGGTTATTTGCCAGGTTTCCTCACTTCTCCATTGTGAGCTCCTGCCCCACCCTGTCTTCTTTGCCTGCCATCACCCACCACTGAACCAAGCCTCAGTTAAGGGAACAAAAGCTCAAACAGCATTTTTAAAAGGGAAATACTTATTTTTTTTAAAAGATTTTATTTATTTATTTGGCAGACAGAGATCACAAGTAGGCAGAGAGGCAGGCAGAGAGAGGAGGAAGCAGGCTCCCTGCCGAGCAGAGAGCCCGATGCGGGGCTTGATCTCAGGACCCTGGGATCATGACCTGAGCTGAAGGCAGAGGCTTTAACCCACTGAGCCACCCAGGCACCCCAGGAAATACTTACTTTTTAACCTGCAGTTTCTACTGTTGTTTTTATGTCTTTTGAACTCCACACCAGCTCAGATTATTACCATGGGATCTTCCTGGAGCATTGAAACTAACAAAACCCCATTCATCTCACATATTGGAGTCATAGCCACGCTTCCTAATATGCGAGAACACCTGTCCTTTAGCGTGAAGTCTCTGTGGGACTCTAAAACGTACACAGTTCAGTTCTCAGAAGCAAGTTGTTAGGATGTAACGAGTCACAGTCGAGTCAAAGCTTGACATTTTGCACCTTATCATGATGTTTTGTGTTTATAATATCCGTGTTAATCTTTTTGATTCACTGAAAATAAAGACTGTGCCTGATTCATTTATATCCTCCACGACTCTAAGCAGAATGTTGGTACCTCATCAGCCCTAAATAAGAGTGCGTGCATGAGTCAGTGAGTGAGGTCATGATTGAAGCAGAGAATGAATGAGCAAATGAGCGCTTCAATAAATAATCGAGAGGATGAATCACTGATTAAGTGAATGTATATCAACAAGCTATTAAACTTGAACTCTGAAATATAAGAGATCAAGAAATGTATATCATGCATAACCAGTTATTTTTATTTTTATTTTTTTTCTCAAACAGAGAAGGCCGAGCTGCTCTGGTTTCATCCTTCGGGGTATTTAAATACTTGACCATGTATGGCATAATCCAGTTTATTGGTACTTCACTGCTCTATTGGGTATGAACCTCAATAATTTCTTCCCAGTTTTAATTGCATTTACATCCTTGGTTTATTCTTTGGGGTGTGGCTCCTACATGGGATTTAATGTTTTATAAATAAATGACATTTCTCAAAATAGATGTCTGCAAACTTGGGAATTTGGCATAATTGCACATGACACATGGAGCTAGAAATAAGTAGCTAGGGATCAGTTTTCTAGGAGTGTTGTTTTTTCTAGATAACTGGAGACACTTGACCTCTTCAAGTATCTATTTCTTTACTTGGAATATGAAGAGAGCTTCAGAACAGCCTAAATATAACTCAGCAGGAAATGCATCAGTCTCCAACTATGGAATATTTTTGACAAAAGACTAAGAGGAGATAAAAAGAAAGAGAAGTTTTTGAATTTGACCTTGAAGCACTAAGAATTAGAAAAACTCCCAGACCAGAAATTTACTGCTGAACCTGGTCAGAACGTACACACTTCGACATGTCATTAGCAAAGGATTAGTATTTAAAATTTTTTAAAAGATATTTATTTATTTATTTAACAGAGAGAGAGAGAGAGAGAGCAGCAGAGGAAGAGGGAGGAGAAGAGTTTCCACTGAGCAGGGAACCCGATGTGGGGCTCAATCCCAGGACCCCAGGATCATGACCTGAGTGGAAGGCAGACAGTTAACTGACTGAGCCACCCAAGTGTCCCTATTTTAAAAAATTTTTAAAAAGATTTTTGAAATTAAATGATAAAAATGAACATTTTAAAATTAACTAACTGTATGGAAGAAATATGTAGAAGTCAAAAGTAATCTTCATTAATTCAGTCATAGCTTGCTCTACAGTGAGATGATACAACAGCCTCAGGGAATACTTCGAGGAGGCAATTATTATACTGTTTTTTTCTGAGACATCTGAGAGATGAACGAGAGGACCACAGGCCTCTAGCATCTGGTGGGCTGTTGTGTGCAAGAATCATACACAGAGGGCTAAGTGGCAACCAGGCAGATTAGAAACAGGACCTGGGTTAAGAGTCAGGAAAACTAGATTCAAGTTCTACCTCTATCACTAAGAACACCTTAGATTTTGCCCTTGGCCAAGCCCTTATGTGCCTCTGGGAAATCAGGTTGGCAGATTTCCAAAGTTCTCCATAGTTCTAGAAAAGCAGCTTCTAGAACAAAAACTAAGGCTGCCTTGGGAAATTTCTCCCTGTTGCATCTCACCTGCATTCTGAGAGGAAAAGATATGAGGAAGAAATGTAGGAAGACAGAGAGAGAGTTGGAGGGTGAGAACCTTGGGGAACAATTTATGGGGATGAGGAACAATTTATGTCTTCTCAAAAATATGAAAGACTTCTCAGTTCCAAGTCTTTATGCATAAAGTCATGTCCACATGGAGATAGGCCACTCTGCAGGCATTCACTCTGATGGTCTAGGCTTAAATAAAAGTGTCCCCCAAAGACCTTTTTTTTTTTTTTTTTTAAGATTTTACTTATTGATTTGAGAGAGAGAGAAAGAGAGTAAGCACCAGCGGGGTGGAGAGCAGAAGGAGAAGTAGACTCCCTGCTGAGCAGGGAGCCTGACGGCGGGGCTCAATCCTGGGACTCTGGGATCACGACTGAGCCAAAGGCAAATGCTTAAACCAACTGAGCCACCGAGGTGTGCCCACCCCACCCCACAAAAAACCTTTAATCAGAAACTTCAGGGTCTTGGGTTCACACTCTAAGAATCCAGAAATACTTCTTATTCGCATAAATATGGTCCCCAATGGTTCAAATCATAATTTAGTGTTCAGTCAGCAGCCATGAAGCAGAGAAACAGCTGGCTGCAACAGGTATTGCAAAGTAAGTTTCTGGTGATTATGAGTTGACCTTTATATAAGACTCCATAAACGTAACTTCAGACAGGTTCTGTGTCTATATAAACCTAGGAAGTCAAGCATACCAGGCTGAAGTCTGCAATGGGCTTACTTGGGGTAGGGGGTACTTGTTCAGTTTGTGAAAGTGAATGAACCCCAAGAGAATGATATTGTGAACTCAATCTATGGATAAAGATGGAGAGTAATACCTGTTGAATGATTCGTGGCTTGGATTTCAAAATTTTAAGTTTGACGTTCCCAGTGGGTATCTTATGTTGAGAATTCAACTGTCCAGGCTGAGACTGCAGCTGCCAGATTACTGTGGCCAATAAAGAGGGTGTTTCCCAACTGGCTGACTCTCATTGCTAATGGAATTAAGGTAAACACTGCAAAAATCGTCATCTGGTTTCATTCTCTCCAATGAGATGCTAAAGGTTGTAGGTAAATTACTTCCTTTTTAAAGAGGAAAGAAAAATAACTGTTGCTTCCTGACTACTTTCAGAAAGAGTTTTGGCAGTGATAACAATGCTGCAATGTCAGAAGCAACTCTTCCATTTCCTTTTTGTTCAAGATTTAGTTATTTATTTATTTTTAGAGAGAGAGAGGGAGAGAGAGAAAGAGAGCCTGGAGAGGGAGGGACATAGGCAGAGGGAGAGAGAGAATCTCAAGCAGATTCTGCACTGAATGCAGAGCCAGAGGTGGGGCTCAATCCCATGACCCTGAGATCGTGACCAGAGCCAAAGCCAGGAGTTGGATGCTCAACCGACTGAGCCACTCAGGTGTCCCTTTATATTTACTTTAATTTCCTTTTCAGCAACTACAGCTCTTTGGGAATTACCAGTACCTCATGCAAGACATAGCCATTACTTTGATGGTCTGTTTAACAAGTAAGTGTTTTAGCAAAGTAAACAGAATTATCTTTATTTATCCATGACACTCCAGAAATGCTCACACAAACCGAAGCTTCTGAGAAAGATGCACCTTTATGTACTAAAACCACATCACCTGTGAGTTTTTTGAAAGAGGTGTTGGAGTAAGTTGAGTCTTGAAGTCCTCAGATTTGGCACTAAAACATCCTGGTAGCAAATAGGTCTTACCTCATAAATTATCAATGTATTCTGAGTTCTTCATAGGTGTGTGTCTTTTACATAGAAAAATGTACAAGAAATCTAGAAAGGGAAATCTTTAAAACCCAAAGGTCACTTTCTATTATTCAGCTATACTTCACATTGACATAAAACCAGATTTTTGCTAGGTCTTTGACATGTGAAAACAAATGCTAGCATTTAATTCTAGGAATTCTATCAAAAGCAAGGTGTGGCTCACAGTAGCTATTGCTCATTTCCTTCCTTTGAGATGACACTGATAAAGTATTTCCTATCAAAGAACTCAGGGCTTCATACTAACTCTTAATAAGCAAGAAAGGTGACTACCTCAACAGAGAGCAAAGAAAAAGAATGACATAGTCATCTCTTTTTCCTTGTTCAACAATGGAAGTGTTATGAAAACTAACAGATAAAACATCAGGCAATGCAGGATATTAATAACCTTGAGAATTTCATGTAACATCTTAAAACATGAAACTGATAGAGAAATCGTTTATTATATCAACCCGATGACAGAAGTTACCAGCATTAGAGATGTAAGTAACATCAGTTTTGATTCTCCAGGCTGAAATATATATTCAGAGTCCATTAACATATTTTTCTGCGTGTTATTAATAGTCACATGACTGGAACATTTTGAATTGGTGATATTGCTTTTGCAGTGTTGGACATTTTTAAGTAATTTGTATGATTTATTTGTGAACATGGTCGATGATGCTAAAAAAAAAACCCCAAAATACACCAGGAAGTTCTAGGAGCTAAGCTAGAAGGCGGTAGCATGGTGGAGAAGGCCATGGCCATTTTTGATCACTCCCTGTCTCTGCGAACTTTGGCAAACTATTCATGAAATAATTTCCTGATATGAGATGTCCTCCCAGGGTTGAGAGGATCAGACAAAACAAGGCATGTGATGTGTACAGCAGTGTGCCACACTATCACCTTGTGTGCTATCACCTTGCACCTTGTCTTTTATTCTTCTTTCGAAATGACTGGCTAACTCAGCGAACCCTTGAACAAAATTAGACTAAGTACAAGTAGATTGATTAGAAATCCAAAAATATGGATAGTGTGTTTGGGGTATTTTTTTAAAGATTTTATTTATTTAGTTACTTGTTTGAGAGAGAGAGATAGAAAAACAGAAAGAGAGAAAGAGACGGGGGGAGGGGCAGAGGAAGAGGAAGAGAGAGAATCTCAAGCAGGCTCTGAGCTGAACGGAACCTGATGAGGGGCTCAGTCTCACAACACTGAGGCAAAATCAAGAGTTGGATGTTTAACTGACTGAGCCACCCACGCACCTCAGTGTTTGTTTTTTTATCCTCTGCCTTCAATCACTATTTTTTTTCCATCACTGCAAGCCCAGTCATCCCACAGGCAGATCATTTCCTGGTCAGTATCAGGTATTAAAATGATCTCATCTTTAGACATTAGTCTAGACATTGTAAGCTAACATTTCATGTTTTCATCCAATTCAGACTTTTTCTTCCTCTAGATCAAGCCTGACCTTGGAGCAAGCAATGGGAGAGAAGGCCATGGTCTCTACTTTGCTTGTGTTGCTTGCTCTCCACTCTTGCTTCAGGGACTCTGGGAGCAACAAGAGCAAATGACTTTTTACTTACATGGGGGTATTGTAGTCTGTCCTGTCAAGTGCCCTCTAACATGGCAGCCATCTAAAATTCATGTTCACAAGTAAATCATACAAATTACTTAAAAATATTCAATTTTTTGAATCCCTGACATGGGTGGTGCTCTCACTCTCTGACTCTTCAGGATTCCTCTGAGCAGCTGCCTTCTAATGGTATGCACCATGAAGCCTTTTTCTATTGCTCGGCCCTCTACCCACACTGGGCAGAGTCCTTCCAAGACAACTCTAGCCTGGCTCATTTCCATTGTTTCTACCTGACCTACCAGATAGTGGATGTAGCCTGCTCTCACTGCTGTCTTCTGTCTTTCCCTCTGGTATTGCAACCAGAATGAGCAAGCTAATCTCCATCTCCAAAAATACTATCTCTCCTGGGGGTTCTTATGACCTCCCCTCATTTTGGATTGGAATGATGCCAGGAAGAAAATCACAGTTCTCGCTACTCTTCACAATTCCCTTTAAAAAAATCTCTTAATAATTTCTATAGTTTTATATATTCTGCACATAGGTAATTGCTTGGGGTTAGGGGCGTGCTCACAGTTGAGGGACCAGTATGGATCCCTCTGTGTGGGTACAATGGAAATAGGCCATCATCTCTCTTTTCATTCAGTTAGCATTTACCATTCATGGTCAGCAAATATAAGGCTCAGCAAGGAAAGGCCCAAACAAAGGAAAAGCCCCATTTAATATCCTCTTAGATGTGTTCATCTCCTACTATATGTTAGGCACATAGGTGTCTGGGACATAAAAGGCCTGATCACTGAAGTTTACAGTTTAGTGGGGGATTCACATACATGAATAAGGAAATGCAAGTCAAAAGTAATAAGTGCCAGAAAACAATGCATACTTTGGGAGCTCCGAGAAAGGAGAGATTATAAAATCTTGTGGGAACAAGATAGGCTATATATAGATAAGCAAGTATATAAATTAATTAATACATGATGGTGTTGTTTTTGTTTCATACTAATTTAAGCTTGAGGTCAAAAGCCCTAATGTGGGAACCTAAAAAGGCAGGCACCTTGGTGAGAGTGAGAGAGAAACAACAGGTGCTTTGGAAGTTCAGAGAAAGGAGAGATTGTTGCTGAAAATCTGGGGTTAGGGAAGAGCCAGCAATGGAGAAAAGAGAGAAATACTAAGGACTGCTTCGTGGAAGAAGTAACATTTGCATCAAAATAGAAAAAGATGGACGGATTTCAAAAATCTTTTCCTAAAGGATGGGTACTTCAAGTAGAATGAAGCAGCATGATCAAGAGAGAGCTGGGACATGAGTTTTTCAATTTGACCATACTGTAGGGTATGTGAAAAGAAACAGCAGGAGATAAAATTTGAAAAGGTGGTTCAGATCAGATCACGGAACTTGACCTCCAGGCTGAAAACTGTGGACATTCATCTGTGGATGTTAGTAGTCATTGGCAATTGGACGATCAATGTAAAATCACCCTCACCAAGGAGCCTGCCTTTCCAGGTTCCGGGATTAGGGCTTTTGACCTCAAGCCTGAATTAGTATAGGACAAAGACAACACCATAATATATTTAATTAATTTAGGTACTTGCTTATCTAGATATACTTTGTCTTGTTTCCATAGGTTTTAAGGCAACACAAAAGCAGCTAATAAGACAAGATATAATATGTTAAAGGAAAATCAAGGAGAAAAGTAAAATGAAGTCAGAGAACTCAATTAAGAAAATGTATGTCTTAAAGCCCAATTTGACCCCAAAAGTTACCAAAGTCATTTTAAAAGGAAATTGTTCTAGCTGCATCTCTACTCTTTTTAACAAAACCCACTCAAATTAGATCAAGAAAAAAGAAGTAGGGGGATGTTTAAGAACATAATTCTCAAAAGAAAAAAATCTGAGAATAGAAACTCAGAAGCACCTGGGGTCAGAGCAGGTCTAGAGCACTAAAGAGTAGAAAACAGAGGCCACCTTTTTTTTTATTTCCAAGAGGCCATCTTATCTCTTTCTTCTTCTTTCTATTCTTACTGTTTTTGTGTGACTTCTACTCATTCACCTTGCAAATGACCCTAAATGGTGACTCTACTATTGAACCTCCATAACCTTTCTGTTTGTCTTTGGACAGCTAATTAGCTCAGCCTCTCAGTGTCTCCTTTGCAAATATTTTGGAGAGAAAAATTCATTGACCTAACTTGGGTAAAATGTCCACTTCTAAGAAATAAAGATGAGGTCATGTAATTTAGCTCAATTTAGGCCAACCACTTCAGCATATGGAAGGAGACAGTATCCAGAGAAGACTGTGGGAGGGAACCCATCCATTATATAAATGCCTCTCTTACATAAATTCCATCAGTGCTTCAAGGACTCCTCACATTTTTGGGGTCTTGGTCCCTTTGGAGAATCTCATGGAAGACATAGATCTTTTCACCTTAAACATCTCATGAGGGCACATTCAAAATTTTGCATGTAGTTTAGGTGGGTTTGGGAGCCTCTGAAAATTTGATGTACATGACTTGAAATGTCCTTTATAGAAAGCTAAGCTAACTGTTTAGGAAAAGCATGCCTACCTTATATCCAAATGATGCTGAACAACTAAAAAGTAGACTTTGAAAATGTCTTCCTACTTAGCAGGCCCTGTACCAGGTTCAGCGAGGGACAGAAAGTGGGATGAGACAGGGTTTCCTCCTCCGGGGAGCGCACGGTCTGCTGAGTGCATGTGTAAATGACTGGATTTAATGCAAGACATCCTCACTACATAGCAGCAAAATGAGTAATGGGCTGTGGAAACTCAGAGGAGGGAATGATTAATTCTGAATGAAATAGAGCACTTCACAGGCTTACATTCCTCTGCATACAGTATGATAACATATATCATCACCATTTTAAGGAAACCTGGACTATTCAGAAAAGTTCTGGCTGCTGAGAAATAACAAGCTGGCATTGTAGGGCTCCTCATTTTATCCTTTCAGTTCAGGAAATCCACGCTACTGCAATGTGCTATAGAGCAGAGAATGGGGGGTTTTATAATTAAGCAGGCTTAAGTTTATATTATCACCCTGTTGCTCACAAACTATGGGTCTTTAAATAAGGGACCCTACTTCTCTGAACCTCAGTTTCTTCACTTGTAAAATAAAAATGAAATACCTATTTTGCATTACTTTAAAAAATGTATTATTATTATTTTTTTTTATTTTGAGAGAGAATGAGCAAGGGATAGGGTCAGAGAAAGGCGGGGGTGGGGGGCGGAGAGATAATCCGAAACAGACTTTATGCCCATCACAGAACTCAAGGCAGGACTCGATCTTTCAACTCTGAGGTCATGACCTGAACAGAAATCATGAGTTGGATGCTTAACTGACTGAGTCACCCACGTGCCCCTTGCGTTGCTTTTTAATGAAATAATGTTTGTAAGATACTTCGCAGAGCCTCTGGAACATAATAGGGGCCCTAAAATGCTAGTCTTTTTTTTTTTTTTTTTTTTTTGTGTGTGTGTGCGTTTGTGTGTGGTCAGATATTCAGATTCTCTATCAGAAAGCATTAGAATTTTTAATATAGAAAGGGTTAAAATAATCATTATGTAAGGACTCTGCTTCAATCAGCTATTGCCACAATAATACTGTATAACAAACCTCTCCCCAGAATTCTGTGGCTTACAATACCCACTCTTGCTCTGTAGATAGACTGTCATTCAGCTCATCTAGGTCAGTTGAATCGGATCAGCTTTGGGATGTAGATCAGGTAGTCTTTGTCCAGGCTATGGGTTTCATTCAGGTCTGCTCCACATTTTTCATTCTGGAGCCAGGCTGGAATGACAGACTTGGGCATGCTCTCACTGTGATCACAGGGAGTGAGGCTGGCCACACAAACACACCTGAAACCTCTGCAAACATTGCTTTGGCCTCAGAAAATCACACAGTGAAACCGAAATTAAAGGCTGGTAAAATGTACTCTACCACCATGAGGCCATTAATTCAAGCCAGTATAGTGTCTGGGTAAAAGAAAAGTCAGAAACTCGGTGAGTGTCTGAGAAAGGGAGGACTGGAGAGGTGGAGCCAAATGCATAGAGATACAGTTGCACCTCTCTCCATCACTCACAGCTTCTTCATGCACTCTGTAGCTATCTTCTTCCTTGAGTATAGGAATGTGGAAAAAACTCCAAGCATGGCAGCCTCTGCCTTCTGTGGCCAGAGCACAGTCTCTTTGCATTGACAAGAGGCCACACTGTGTGCTCCTTCCTTGCATGCCATGCAATGACTTCTCACACCAACTACCCAGAGTGATGCCAAACTTCACAAGTTAAGGGCACAATGTCCTTAAGATTGTCCTTACTTCAGACCTCAGCCATAAGTTTTGGGTCCCATTCGCATTTTTGACCAGCTGGCTGCAAATATGGGGGTTCTCATTTTCTCCTCAGGTTCAGTAATTCATATCAATAACTCACAGAATTCAGGAAAGTGGTCTACATAGGATTACAGTTTCATCATAGCAAAGGGATACAAATCAGAACCAGCCAAAGGGAGAGACACACAGGGTGAGGTCTGGTGAAAGGATCCCATGGTGGGAGGATCTCAACACTTCCATTGTCCTCTTCCTGGGGTGTCCATTTGCCCTACTTTCCTGGCACATCCATGGCGACAATACGCAGAGTATTACCAAACAGTACTCACCTGAACTTTGGTGTCTTGTCTAGAATTTTTATTGGGTTTTTCTTATGTAGACATGTTTGGTTGAATCATTGGCCATGAAGTTGATCACAATCTCTAGCTTTTTTTGTGGCCTGGCCAGTTCCATCCTGAGTCATCACTTTATCACCAACTTTCTTTGGGCCCACCATCTGTGATCTTGTTTGCATAAACCATCAGGGCTACCATGAATAAAAAGACACTTTGTCAACTCAAGAAATCCCAACAATTTAGAGGATACATCCCAGGAACTGGGAATAAAGGTCGGCCAAATTCTTTATGACACAACCCATCTGTGTTTTTCCATCAGAATTCAAGCTCTTCCGGGCAAATGAGATGTCCTCTTCATCTCTGCATACCCCATGGCCTGTAGCCTAGCATCCTCCTGGGTAAACACTGCTTAAATTAGTAAAGCTAAAGCCTTAGATAGTTATAGAGTTTTAGAGTAAATGAGTCGGGAGAGACTTTGGAGACCATTTAGACATTCCTACAGACTTTCTACATGAGAAAATGAAGTACCAGAAAGTCCACGTGATTACCCGAGAACCCACTGAGAAAACTGAAGACCTACTTTAGAGTGTTATCATCCCAAACTGGACACCTGCTCCTACTGCCTTGCCCCTACATGCATGAACACAAACCTAATCATATGTACCCTACTTTCTTCTTTACATCAAAGAAACCAGTGGTCAGCTATAAAAAAGGAAAAGGCAATAGATACGAAGACAAGAACTGAAACCTGACTATAATGTAAACCTTTGGATGCATTGTATCTAATTCCTGACCTTTCCATGCTTCTTTCCTGTGATGCCCTAAGAAGTAAAGTACATTCCATTTTCATCAGCTTTTTAGAATATGTGACTTCTAAGAAGAATGCAGTCATCTTTTCTTATAGTTGTTCTATTTAACCTCTGCCTATTGTCAAACCTTTAAATAATAAAAAAAAACACCTTAGGATCAAAACTATAATACATTTTAACACTCTTATCTGGAAGCAAGATTATTTTATGAGCTCTTTTCCCTGACCAGGTGTAATGTGTTCTAGCAGTTCTCCATTTATGACTTAACCAGGATGGAACAGAACACACCTTTAGCATCTCTCCTGGTACACTGAAGTACTTAGAGAATGTTGACTGAATGAATAATAAAATGAGTGCTTTTTAAAAAAATCACCAGTATATGAAGATTAATCTAGCCTGATGCCTCTTATTCTCCTCCTTTTTTTCTTTTTTTGAAGATTTTATTCATTTATTTTTCAGAGAGAGAGAGCACAAGCACAAGCAGGGGGAGAGGCAGGCAGAGTAGGAAGTAGGCTCCCTGCTGAGCAAGGAGCCTGACAGGGGATTCAATCCCAGGACCCTGGATCTTGACCTAAGCCAAAGGCAGATGCTTAACTGACTGAACCACCCAGGTGAACTTTATGCTCCTCTTCTTTACTCCTCACCTTCCCACCACTACTGAGAGATCATAGTACTGCTTATTCATGTGAAAGGCCACACTCTATCTTACCTACCGTTCCTGGTCAGTCTGGTTATGGAGAAAATATTTGCACCATGAAACATGGTAAATGTATAATTAGCAGAACTTCTAAACCTATTGGTTTTCATTTCTGAAGGTGAAACAAAAACATGGAAGAGTCAAGGGCTGGTAGCATTGGATATGCACCTAGGCAGTGTGCTTATCCAGATATAAAGCCTCATTCATGTTTGCTGACTCTGAACCCTAATGCAAGTCTCGAGATAAGATGCATCCCAATTTTTACTGTCAATAATGAAATTATAATAGGGGAAAATGCATTTGTTTTTCAGTGAGTTCAACTCATGCCTACCCAAAGCTGGCTCCTTACCGACCAGCAGGACAGCTCCTCTCTCCACCTTTGCTGCTCTCAGTCTTTTTGAACACCTGTTTCACCTGCATTGTGCAGATCTGTGCATTTCTCTATGTGAAGCAGCAGCCCTGGTATTGTGAGGTCTACAGATACAGGTAAAGTTCAGTTTTTTTAGTTTTCCTTTCTGAAGGTGATACAATGAGTCTGCAATGTCATTGTACAACTTGTTTTTTTATACCCTTAATTAATTAATTTTTATTTTATTAACATATAATGTATTATCTGCTTCAGGGGTATAGGTCTGTGAATCATCAGTCTTACACAATTCACAGCATTCACCATAGCACATGCCTTCCCCAATGTCCATAACCCAGCCACCCTATCCTTCCCCTGACCCCCAACAACCTTCAATTTGTTTCCTGAGATTAGGAGTCTCTTATGCTTTGTCCCCCTCCCCTGTCCCTAACTGTTTAATTAACGAAAGTTGTGTCTCCACACTGCAAAATATCAATAACCGGATAGAACACAGGACACAGTTAATGGGTAGAGTCCTGGGGTGAGCCATGTGCAGTGGGTGGGAAAAGATCTTCACATTTGTTGTTGATGTGTAGATCCAACCACTGGTTGACTGAATGAATGTACTCATTCCCTGGTGGTTTGGAGATCATATAGACCAGAGGTCAGCAAACATTTCTTGTGGAGGGTCAGAGAGTAAACATTTTAGGCTCTGTGGACCTGACAATCTCTGTTGTAATTACCCAGTGCTACTGTTGTAGTGAAAAGCAGCCATAGACAATGTGTAAAAAAGTAGCTGTGACCATGTTCCAATAAAACTTCATTTATACAAAGATGGGGAGGGTACTTGTTATGGTGAGTGCTGTGAACTGTGTAAGACTGATGAATCACAGATCTATACCCTTGAGACAAATAATATATTATATGTTAATTAAAAAAAAACTTTATTTACAAAAAGAGGCGTTGAGTTGGATTTGACCTAATGAGCTGTAGTCAGCTGACCCCTGTTTTACCAGATATATTTGTTTAAATTTGTTTGCATTTTTCAAATGAATAATATGTTAGTTGATGGTACCATTTTTCTGATTGAACTGAACACTAGACTCAGGGCAAGTCTTTAACTATAAACTAAGGTAAAATGTAGTGAACTATGCCATAGATATTCAAACTTTGTTTTTTCTGACAAAACCTGCCTGACCTCCAAAGGAAAGGCAGAAAAGGAGCATCTCTTTTTGAAGTAAGACTTGTACAAACTCCTTTACACACACTCTACTGTGATCCTGAAGGAGCCAGAGCCCCAGGAATCAGTGAAAGATTAAAAACTATCAAATGATGTCCAAGATTGTCATTGAGATCCTAAATTCAGCAATTCAAGTATTACTTGGAGTGAGAATTCATAACCAGATTTTTCTCAAAACAAGATTTTTCTCCTAATTGGAGTGTATGTACTCAGAGATAAAATTCTGATTGAATCTGGAGGACAAGAAGGTATAGCCCCAAGGGTGATCAATAGGTAGTCCTGCCTCTATCACTAACGGCTGTGCTATGCTATGCCTTAACTTTCTTATCTGCAATGTAAGTATAACAGATTAGATACACTTTTATGTTAAACTCTATAATTCAGGCCTTTGGTCTATCTGTCCCCTTTGTGCAAAAACACTTTGTGGCTACTGATGATTAATGTATTCAGCAAATAGTCACTGAACCTCTGCTCAATGGAAAGCACATCTCAGCACCCTAGGGAACCAAGGATTAAAAGACTTAAGTCTATTTCTTGGGAACTAATTTAATCTATAACGAGTTATAAGAGTAAAAAGTTTCAAGCTGAACAAGAAAGTGGATAGAAACTAATTTGTAAGTTTGATTATTTAAAAAATGAATATTGCTAATAGATCAATCTGGACTGGGAAAACCCATCTCTTAAATACTTTTCTGAGCAAATATTCTGTGGCATTTCTGTGCTAGGTGCTAAGGATTTGTAAATTTGAGTAAAACAATAAAAAAAAAAAAAAAACCAAAAGAGACAGTTCGTATTCAAGGAACTCTCATCCCTGAGATGGAAAATAAAAATATGCAAATGAATAATTGCAAAACAGTGAGCTAAATTCAGTGCTAGAGACAAGAATGGAGTCTGGTAGTTATGCTTGCCAGTGAACTAAAGACAAAGCCTTTCAGATAAAGGGGTGGAGAGGGAATAGAGTACCTGACCCAGATGTGTGCAAACTGTGATATTTGGGGAACAGAAAATATTCCTATGTTTGGAATATAAGGAGCATAGAAGACTGTCAAAGATAAGGGAAGGAAGGCCGATAGAGACCAGAGTACACAGATCTTCTGAGCTTGTCTGAGAAGCTGGAACTTAATTTATTAGCAAAATAGAGCCATAGACACTTAGAAGCAGGAGAGGGTCATGTTTGGATCCTCAGTAAGAGAGTGGATTAGAGTGGGCAGATTCAAACTGATGGCCTGAGTCAGTAGGCCTACATTCGTACACAGAAGAGAAAACACTTGTTCTAAATGGAATGCTAGACAAAGAATAATTTTGACTTATTTTAAATTTTATTTCTGCTTTGTCATTGCAAAAAGTGAACAAAATATGTTCTGGTAGTTACTGGCTGGAGCAATTTGAAAGCTGAGATCCCATGGTAGTGATAAACTTTTTTTTTTCCCTACCACCTGGATAAAAATAGAATAAAAGATACCATAAATGCTGGCAATTCTTTTGTAGTAAGTGCTTTCTGGACAACCAAAGTAATTTCTCAACGAATGTGAGTTTGGAGAGAAAGGGGACTGGAAATGCGACTCTGATTCCTGGTTCAATTTTAAGTTTTGAGAGTACCACACTGTGGCCCATCGCCACCATCAACTGCATCACGGTGGCGTTTATCTTTTCTAAGGGAAAGCCATTTTGAAAACCCATCTACACAAACTGTGAGTATATGAAGTTTAATTTTTCTTTTCACATTTTCTTTCTGTTTCCCCACCCTCCCAGAGTCTCAGGTAGGTGGTGAAGGGATGGCTGAATGCCAAAGTGGAGCACTGGCATTTCCACTGGTTGTATAATGCTGTTTTGACTTGATTTATTCTTCTAAGTTCCCCTTCTAATTATCCACATTTTTCATTATTTTATTCAGTTTTCTCAGCTTTGCCTTGTCATTAAAAATATAATTCTGTTCTAAATTTTTTTTAATTGAGTATTGAAAGACACTTTCATAGGTGGTAGAAGCATGGGCAGTAACCTCCTCATTGGCAGATAAACACATGCATTATTAAATGGTCACATGAGTCCTGTCCCATTGTGAGTCATCAAGAACGATTTTAAGCACATTTGTATATGTCAAGGTATTTTGTAAGACTTTCTTTTTTAAAAAATTTATTTATTTGAGAGAGAGTCCACAAGTGGGAGGGAGTACATGAGTGGGAGAAAGGTTAGGGGGATAGGGAGAAGCAGGCTCCCCACTGAGAAGGGAACACCATGTGGGGCCGGGTCCCAGGACCCTGGGATCATGACCTGAGCTCAAGGCAGACACTTAACCCACTGAGCTACACAGGCTCCCATGTAGAAGACCTTCTAATCAATTCAGATACAACTTGACCTCTTTAGTAGCTTCATAACATTGGACAAGTTACTTTAACCATTCTGTGCATTTCTTAAGTCACCAGTGAGGATGAACATATTTTCATATGATTAACCATTTCTTCTCTGAATTGCTTATTTATATTTTTTAATCCATTCTTTTTTAAAATCTAATGTTAATAGTGGCATATAGTTTGAGAACTCAAACTACTTTATTCAAGTAATTACTAGTTTTCCCAGAAGATTTTATTACTTAATATTTCTTTGTATCATTTATTTCTTAATTAAATATAATGCCACCCTTAGCATATATACATATTCATGTATATGTATGGCTTTATTATATACATAATTTATATTATGTGAGTTTTTATATTATATTTAAATATTTTATTTTTATTTATTCTAGGAAGAGAGACTGTGGGGGTAGGGGCAAGGAGAAGAGAGGAAGGGAGAGGGAAGGTGGAAGAACTTCAAGCAGACTCCCCACTGAGTTCAGAGCCCACGTTGAGGCTGGATCCCATGACCCTGAGATCATGACCCGAGCCAAAACCAAGAGTTGGCACTGAACCAACTGAGCAACCCAGGCACCCCTATATTATATTTATATATGTTATATACCTACAAATCAATTTTTATATAATTAATTAGTTCCTAGACTATCTTTTCTGTCTCATTAATGTACCAGTCTATTCTTGATCTAAAAATTATAGTTTCATTCATTTAGCTATAGTTTTATAATAAATTTTAATGAATAGTAAGATTGGCATATCTTCATTACTCTTCGTTTTTCAAAAATTTCTTACTTTTCTTGCTTATTCATCCTTCCAGATAAACTCTATAACAAACTGTAAGGCTTTAAAAAAATCCCTTTCTGAATTCTGATACTTTGGGAAAAAATTATTTGTTAACATAATTTAATCCTCACATTTAAAAACATGCCATCCTTCTCTATTTGTTCATGTTTTTTTTTACATCTTTCAGTAAATATTTATTGTTTTTTCCATTGTAGATCCTGAACATTTAAGAAACTTATTTTGTGTTTTTAATATTTTTCTTTATATTGTGAGTGACTTTTTCCCATCACATTTTTTTAAACACTTTTTTAAAAAGATTTTATTTATTTATTTGAGAGACGGAGATCACAAGTAGGCAGAGAAGCAGGTAGAGAAAGAGGAGGAAGCAGGCTCCCTGCTGAGCAGAGAGCCCGATTTGTGGCTCGATCCCAGGACCCTGGGATCATGACCTGAGGCGAAGGCAGAGGCTTAGCCCACTGAGCCACCCAGAACCCTCATCACATTTTTTTTAACTGGTTATCCTTAATACCTGTAACAGTTATAGTGTTGTTTACATTTATTTTCTATCCAGAACCCTTTTTGAACTTTGCTATTACTCCTTGATTCTTGAGTGTTCTAGAAAGATAATTAATATCATCTGCAGGTAATGCTTCTTCTTCTTTTCCAGCGATTATATTGCTTATTTATATTTTCTGTCTTAGTATAAAGTCCAGAATTTTCAGGATAATATTAAATAATTGTGTTGGTAGCAAAGAGTTCTACTCCTTAATAAAAATACTTCAATCATTTTCACCTGTAAATATGATTTCAAATATTGGTTCAATATTGGTTCATGTAAAGAAAATACCTTTTTATTTCCATGAAATCAAAAGTGCATTTTAAACCAAGAACAGGAGATGTATTTCATCAAATGCCTTCCCATCACCTACTGAGATGGTGATGCCTTTTTTTTTTCCTTTTGACCCGTCGTTAGAATCTGTTATATTAATAAACTTATTATTAAATTATCTTCATATTCTTGAGCAAACCCTACTTATTTGTGGTGGATTATACTCTTACTAAATTGAATTTTATAGTTTTTTAATGTCTGAATTTTATATTGGATTGGTCTGATGTTTTTGTGCAGTGTTTTGTTAGGTATGAGTATTAGATTTGAAAACTCTTCGACTTTTTCTTTCCCAGAAAAAATACTTTGTAGATAGGAATTGTCTATTCCTTGGCAGTTTGCAAGAACCCAGTAATATCATCTGGCTCAAAATCCTTCCTTTGAAAGTTTTTTTTTAAAGAATTGATTTATCTTCTTTTTAAACTGTTTTTTAAATAATAAATTTTTTTTTTGTTTGGATAATTCTATTTCATTGAGATTATCAAACCTTAGCATCAGATTTTGAGTGGTATTTTCTTTTAACTTTAATGCCTTCTCTAACTTTTAATGTTCTCATCCTATATGTCTTATGTTTCATGTATTCTTTTTTTAATTTAATTTTATTTTTCAGTGTCCCAAGATTCATAGTTTATGCACCACACCCAGTGCTCCATGCAATACATGCCCTCCTTAATACCTACCACCAGACTTACCCATCTCTCCCTTCCCCCTCCCTTCCCAAACCCTCAGTTTGTTTCCCAGAGTCCACAGTCTCTCCTCTACCCCTCTGATTTCCCTGGTTTCATTTATTCTTAGTAGAAATGTATTTTTATTGGTTTTCTTTAAAATTTAATAATTCTGTCTTCTATTTTCTAACTTGTTAATTTTTGCTTTTCCCATTCTTTCCAACCCTTCTTACTTTGTCTGAAAAAAAATTGTAATGTTTGAATTGTCTTTATAATGTATGCATTTTATTTTATTTTTATGAAATTAGAAAAGCATTCAAGATCAAGAAATATATTTTGGGTTACGTTCTTTTCATTTTCATGTGTCTAATTATGATTGAATTTCTTCTTTGACCTACTAGTTTCAGAATAGCGATTTTTCATCTTCAAGTGGGAAGAGATTTTGTTTTCATTCTCTTACTACTCTTCTTATCAGTAGCTTACAAATGAAATGGACTTGATTTCCTTTTTGACCAACAGATGTTTAGAATTTTGTTTTAAATTTCTATGTTGGAAAGGATTTTTCATTTAAATTTGGTTAATAATTTTTACTTTCATTATCATGATCAGAAAATCTAGTCTATAAAATTTTTGCTTTAGAGAATTTACTACAGTTATGCCATCCCATGGAACAACCTGTAACCTCTAATTTTCAAAATAAGTCGTAGATATTAGAAAAGTAAGCCTTATTCCTCTTTCTAAATTAGAAACATACATTTACTACATTAAACTAATTTTAGTAATTATTTACATTCTATTTGTTTTCACAACCCCACCTTTTTCCTCTATAGCTGTTTCGTCAAAGGTTTTGAGAGCATGCTAATATCTTCTTTTAATTTTATATATTCTATAAACTTCTTCCTAGATTTCTTATGAAATTTCTTAATTTTGATTCCATTTTGGTAATGCCTTTAGCTCTTCTCACAACAATCAAGATTTCACTTTATGTTTTAAGGTTAATCACTTATAGTCCCTTTTTAAAATTGTGAATATATTTTGTAAGGAGGGTATGATATATTGTATTAGCTAGCACTTTAATTTGAACAGTAGCTACAAAGTCTTTTTTCATAAATTGAATTAAGCGAGAATTGGATTAGTTACAACATATTGACTTAGAGTTTGTGGGTGAATTCAAGTTCTATGTCAAATCTAACTGCTAATTTTAAATAAAAAGTTTTATAAACAAATAGTTTAACAACATAATCTCGAAATAAATCACATACTCTCAAAAGTCTTGGAACTACTACTAAAATATCAAACGATTTTATTTTGATATAACAGACAAGTCTAGGGGCGCTTGGGTGGCTCAGTGGGTTAAGCCTCTGCCTTCGGCCCAGGTCATGATCCCTGGGTCCTGGGATTGAGCCCCACATTGGGCTCTCTGCTCAGCAGGGAGCCTGCTTCTTCCTCTCTCTCTGCCTGTCTCTCTGCCTACTTGGGATCTCTGTCTGTCAAATAAATAAATAAAATCTTGAAAAAAAAAAAAAAGACAAGTCTGTACCTGTCTTAATAACCTTGGACAGGAGATCAACTTTATGATGATGAGATATAGAAAAAAATACAAATTTAATTTTTATGGAAGTAGGTATGAATATTTGCGATCCCTTCCCTTTCATGGTCTGAAAACAATCCGTAGTGCCTTGCCAAGGACTTGTCTTTCCAAATCACCTATGTAAAAAGAGTTTCAAGTTTCCTCATCAATAGCAATTGATCAAGGGAGGCAACATTCATCCGGTTCCTCATTATGTTTTCTAATCAAAGCTGAATTAAATGAGGGTCTTAAGCATTTGCTTCCACAATGGTCATTTGTGCACCCACCTGGCCTGGTTTTCAGATCATCAGTCTAGGACAGTGTGATGTGCATAGCACTCAGTTGGTTCCTGTGATGACCGGGCCTTCATCATCTTGGACATTGGGGGGGCATCCTCTTCTTCCCAGTAGCTGGGTCCCTGCAACATGGAGACAATGGAATAAATGAAAACTCCACACAGCCCCTTTTCTGGGCTCTTCTTATCACCAAACTATTCAGGTCACTTAATTTTGGGAAATAAGCAATCCTGCAGCTCCTGCTTTTCATCTGTCTGCCTCACACCTCTTCCAAGCAAGCCTGAGTATTCTTCTGCGAGGTGCTGCATCTAGTTGTGTATCTAAAGTGAAGCTTTGGGGCACCTGGGTGACTCAGTCGTTAAGCATCTGCCTTTGGCTCATGATCCCAGGATCCTGGGATCGAACCCCATAATAGGCTCCCTGCTCAGTGGAACGCCTGCTTCTCCCTCTCTCTCTGCTGCCCCCCCACCCCGCCCCGCCCCGCCACTTGTGCTCTCTCTTTCATTGTCCCTCTCTGTCAAATAAATAAATAAAATTAAAAAATAAATAAATAAATAAAGTGAAGCTTGGAAAAGTATGTGGGCACATGTTGGGCACAAGGGTGAAAACAGAACTCTGATATCTTAAAAAAAAAAAAAGTAGAATAAGGCCAGCAGTAGGGGGCAGTTACTTCTGATTTCTGGTTATAGAGGCCTATACAAAGTTGGGGGCTGGCAGACCATAAACACTGGAATAAATGAGGTGGAGAGAATATAAGAGAAAACCTACTTTGCTTGTTTGTTTATGAGTTTTAAGGCTTGTAAGAGTCATTTATGTCATGGCAACACAGATGAAATGCTACTGTTTTGGCCTGATGATGCTAATCTTACCAAAAGCATTTCTAAGGCACCATCTACAAAGTGCCCAAGAGCTCTGAGGACACAGGTGTTGGGGGGCTTGGAGGGTTAAGAACAGTGGTGCTGGCACATTGCATCCTAGGAAGTTAAGCTCCCCAAAGCAAAGCCATTTGGGCTGGTTGGAAAGAAAGAACCCAGCAGATGTACAGGAGAGTTGCTCATTCTTTCCATTCAGAGTCCTAGAAAAACACGTACAAAGACACTTTTAAGTGGTTACAGTCTAGTAGATTCATAATGGAAGATCAGGCAAAGCAAAGTGGTCCATAACCATACGAAATAAAACTTTGTAAGAGAGGCTGGGGAAGTCTTTTTAAAAAAGTGGTATCTGAATTGGCCTTTTTTAAGAAAAAGTGGAACTTGCCAAGACAGGAAAAATATCACCTACACAGTGTATGTTGTCAACAAAGGCCTCCGTGGAAATGGCAGCTGTGTGATTTAACTTCCCTAAGACACATAAGGAAGAGCCATCAGAGAGCAGATCAGAAAGGCAGACTGAAATCGAATTGGGGAAGGCCTTGAATTGGGGAAGGCCTTGAACGTCAGTTGAAGACCCTGGACCTTATTCTGTAGGCAACAAGGAAGAACGAAGTGGTGCCGAGGGGACTGACTCTCCGTTCATGCACGGCTGTGCAGTGATTTGGGGCCTCTCTGGGGACCTTTTACATGAGCTGGTCCCTGCAGAATGTCCTAGCCCCCCTGGACTTCTCAGCTGACGTGACTCCTTTCCGGAGTTTACCGTAGTTAACTGGCAGTTTTCTGCACCTCGCCTTTCAAAGAATGATGTTACAATACAGCCTTTGTCTTGTAAGCATTAGAACATATTTTAAAGCATATGAGGATATAGCAAAACATCTGAAGATGTATCCGGTATTTGCCCAACAGAGATCATTGGTTCTGCAGTGTGTGTGCCAAATTATATGAAACATTCGTTTAGCATCTAAAAATAATGTTTTGGTGTTTCTTCAGATATATTTTCATTTCTGCTGATGTCTGCCTTGGGTCTCACAGTTTTCATTCTGTTTTCTGACTTTCAAGATATATACCGTGGAATGGAGGTAAGAGCTATTCATTATCACATCTTCAGTGACTCACATTTGCGATGGAACCATATCTGCACCGTTAATTATTACCATATTTTCTCTGATCTTTTAATATTGTGAGGCTCTTCTCATTTACTAAAACAACAAATAGCTTACCTGGCTCTCCCATATGCGACCCTCTGATTGTTTTCAGATGATCTATATTTTCAGTCAGGGACATTTATCTCTTCACACCTAAAATACTATGTGTGGATATTTTATCCTTCCATGTTATACTGATATAATAAATTAATGTATTAACACAATAATAACTAATTCTTCAATTTTAGTTTTTTTAACATATAGTAGAAATCCTTTATGATGTAGTTGTAAGGAGTAAGAAAAAGTAGACGTACAGGCCAATCATATTCTCTCTGTCAGACATCGACTGCAGGGAGTTTTATTTCAGTGGACATCATTTAATCTGGGTGCAGTGAGTTAAAATAAAATTTATGAAGAGGTCATTGAACCCAGTTCTTGGAGCCAGACTTGTGGGAGAAATTAAAAAAAAGATTGACTCTTGATTTGCAATCTATAGTTTTGTTGTGAAGATGAGTCCCACCCAAGAGATATGATGATGTGGCGACATAAGACCACCCATGCTTCAAGAGGGTGTAACATAGAAGTGAGAACATAGGAAGGAGGAATTCTCACGGGGCCTGTGTCTATCATGGGAGGCTTCATGGAGGAGGCACAATGTGATCTGTGTCTAGAGGATAGGCTAGGTTTTGCTAGGTAAGGGGTAGGGGTATTTCCAACCAGGAGAACAGCCTGAGCACAAACAGAGAGGGCTGGAAGAATCTCTTTTGTCTTGGAAATGCAAAAGAATGTAGGGTGGCAGAGATAAAAATCAAAAGCCAGACTTGTTTCACAGAACACCTGGAAGACTGACAAAGATGGCGGCCCCATGCTGTGGAATGTGATGAAGGCATGGCTGGATGGAGAGGGTCAGGGAAGTTTGAGCTCTCTTCTGAAAGCAACAGGGAGTCATTGAAGATATCCAAACAGGTTTTTTTCAGCAGAGCTTTTAAGGATGACTAATTAGATGATGGCAGGAAGGCTACATGCTAGAGCCAGAGAGGCTGTGGACAGAGACGCAGTTAGGAAGTGAAAACCTAGATCATTTAGTCACTTATAATACATTATGAAGCTTTAGCGCATGCTTGGCACTGGGGCTCCAAAGATGAGTAATATGTGGGCACCCCTCTCAAGTATCAGGGACTAGGAGGGAAGACCATCCCACAAGCAGATGATTCCAAAGCAATATGACAGGTGCCGTCCAAGCCAAGAGATGGAGAAGAGACCTCCAAGATGAGGGCAGGGGCCACAGGGAGGGCAAGGGCCAGGTTCTCCGCTAGGATCTGACCCCCTACCACACCTTACAACCTTCTCCAGACAGCCTGCTCCCAGGCTGTGTCTCACAACCTCAGAAAGTCTGCCTATACTTGGGGAAAAAAATAACAGTGTTATTTTGAAATAAATAAAATAAAGTGTTACTTTGAAATACCCCATATCAGACTAGGGGTGAGAACTGCAAGTGAGCTTCTAGACATGGTGAGGGGTCTGTGGGTTTGGTCCTAAAGGCAGCTCAATCCCCATCCTTTACTTTGGGTCAGAAGGGCTCTGTGTGAATAGTCACTTGCTATGGATGCAGCATGAGAAGTTGTAGTGTTCACACCTATTACCTAATTTTATTTGGTGGTCAGTATGCACCCTTTAGTCCTTAAAAGGAGGTGGGTTGGGTGAGTTCAAATTCCATCAAGCCATTAGATTTAGGGCTGGGGCCATTTGTTCAGAAAATTTCCACCTAGTTTCAAAAGCAACTTGAATCTCTTTCCCCTTTATGTTTACTCATACATCAGTTTTACTGAAAGAATGAACTCCAGGTAGATTTTACTTTGGGAGGATTAGAAGTAATATTATTATTAAATGAACGACTTCATCTTGTATTCTCTTTCCTGTATTTGAAAAGATAAAAATGAAGAGAGACACACAGGTTCCAAAGTGCTTTGTCTCATGTGTGTGACCCAGAGCACATTTTCCGAAGTCTCTTGTCAGGCAGTCAAGGGAGCACAGGCCCAGAGGCAGTCAATTCTCATTTGCATTCTGGCTCTGCCATTTATTGATTGGCTTTGGATCCTTGGGCAAGGTACTGACCTCATCCGTGAAGTGAAGAAAGCCATGCCCACCCTTCAAGCTCAGAGACTTGTTAGAAATATAAATTAAACAAGATTAAGATATTTTGTTTTGAAAATGGAAGATATGCAAAGCATAAAGGTAGTATTTCTTTTTTTAACAGCTCATCCCAACCCTGACATCATGGAGGGTTTCAGTTTTGGTGGTAGCCCTCATCCAATTCTGTGTGGCCTTCTTTGTAGAGGTAAAGTGATTTCTATACATCTCTTACTTTCTTTCTAGGGAAAAAAAGGTATCACTCTCAACACATGCCTGTTTTTTAGTGCAACCTCTTTTGTCCCCAAAAGTGATAGTTATTAAGGTTTTGTAAAAGCTGTACATGCTCTCTTTGGGGGAAATTCCATGGAGAGTGATCTAAAATTCTCTAAAGACTGGATGGAAGTGCTCTCAGGATCTGTAGCATAGAAAGCAAAACATTAAATTAACTCTAATGTAATCTCCCATGAAGGCATTATATTATACTTTTCTAGTATTCTCATGAGCTAGTAGAGACAAGACCAGGTGACCTACTAGCTCTAAAATTCAATGAGACCTTTCGAGTGAAGAACTGTCTTCAGAAGGGCTTCCTTAATTAAGAGAGAAAGGAAGCCATTTCTCATTTTAGTCAATTCTAACCCTTGAAAGTTTTCCTCTATAGCATTTTTCTTCTACTCAGTGTCACTAAATGACTTCACCTACTCAGTGAAAGTTTCAGGCACTATTGTTTTTTTAAAGGGACAGTTAAAAAAAAAAGATTTATGTATTCTAAGTCCCTTGGGGAAAGGGATCAACCAAATTTTAAAAAATACATACACACACACACACACACACACACACACATATAACTGTATATAATGGTGTAAAATTTCTCGTACTCTTTAAGGAATTCCATTTTTGAGCCTATATATTTTTAAATAACCCAAAAGGAGAGAGAAAACTTACGTGTATGAAGGTATTCATTATAGTATTATGTCAGGTATTATCTCAGTATTATCTGAAATTTTAGACTCAACTCATGCATTGAAAAATAGAGATGCTGTTTGTTTAAATAGTTATACAACAATTTGATAAAAAATGGTATTTGATCATTAAAGGTGATTATTAAAAGACCATAGCTATAAACTGTAAGCAAGTCTAGCATAACCAAAAGTGGAATGCTCTATAGTTGTCAACTATAGACTGACAGCAAGTCTAGCATAACCAAAAGTGGAATACAAAATTTGACCATTTCTATTATGAATAAAAAAAAAAAAGAGCACTCCCCCACCCCTGAATGGAAAACAAAACCCATTGGAGTTCTGGAGTTTATCCATTCATTCAGCAAACCATTATGTGGCACCTCCTATGTGGCACGTGGCAGATAGCAGTGATTTTTTTTTTTCTTTCCTTGATTTTGAGTACATTATTTTGTTATTATTTCAGTCTGGCAGTAAAATAATTCTAAGTGAATCAGCAGCCAGGATTTAACCAGAAAATCTGTAGAAATGAAAGGCTGTAAGCTTTGGGCAGATTTCTCTCAAGCACTCTTCTTCCTCAAAGGAAAGAACCGGGGGGAGCTGCTAGACATCGTGGGGACAGCAGGAAGGAGAAGCTGCTGCAGAAGCAGCAGTACTAAGCACATCTCATAGGAAGACCTGCGGTGGTGAGCAACCTGGCTGCAGGGAAAAGTAGAATCATAATTTGGTTGTTTTCTCTACCTGATTTCTCAGGATGTCATCCTTCAAAACCAAAAGCTCTGGCTATGGATCAAAAAAGAATTTGGATTCTCTTCTAAAAGTCAATATAAAAACTGGCGAAAAAAGCTGGCAGAAGACTCCACCTGGCCTCCTACACACAGAACGGATTATTCAGGTAATGACAAAAATGGATTCTACATCAACCTTGGCTATGAGGACCATGAACAGATTCCAAGAGCAAAACTCGAATTGGGAGGCCAAAGCACAGAACAGCATTTTTTGACGAGGCTGTAATCAGATTTGTCGTACTTGCTTCACAGCATCTCCTTGTTCCCTGAAACTAAACCATTATGGAAAACGGATCATAGTCTATCCTTATCTTTTCTCTCTCTCCATCCGATGATTCAAAGGGTGTTTCTCAATGTACTGAACCTTGCAAAAGAGAACTTTAAATATGCTTATTTGGACTGTATCCTCTCCTATTGAGGAAAAAACATGCACTTCCTGGATTACCTTTTTTTTTTTTTTCCCTAATAAACTAGTCACATTGCATAGCATTATCCTGGCTAAAATGCACAAGTTTTCATGGTAGTGAAATTAGGAGTATGAACATTGGTAGAACAAAGGAAAATTGAAGACCAGTTTGATGTTTGAAAGTTTCAATAATATATTTTTATTTGCATCTTCAGAAATAAAAGAATTTGGGGGAAAAGCCTTTCTCTCAATAAATCATCACAAGTTTACTTAATCTTCTATTCACTTGCAAAGATCATTTATGTGCATATCTTCTCCCAAGGTCACAAAATTCCTCTTTTTGCTTCTTTTGTATGGCTTTAACGGAGAAATAAGAATTGACATTTACTTCAGAAAAGTCAACACTAATTGTGGTAGTGTGGGTAAGGAGAGTGATGGAGATGTATGTTAATTGTCTATAATCTTGGCTTGAGCACAACCTATATCTAAGCAAACTCCACCAATGTTGCCATCTTCCAAAGGATATGGTTTTGAGCTCAGAGAGCAAGAAAATCCTGGGTAAATCACAAAGATAATGGGATAACCTTTTAAAATGTACTTTTCACTTAAAGAAGCATGGCACTTCTATTTATTTTTTGCTACTGACAGATTAAACTTCAAGTACTAAGTTGAAAAGTTGGTTCAAAATCAGCATTGCTCATCTTAAAAACAATCCTAGGGAAGGGACCCATGATGTTTGTATCATCAAGCTGCTAAACAACCTTAAGTTCCATTTCATCTTTTTATTATCTTAATCAATTATTAATGGCCACTTAATAGCTACAAGGAATGGTAAATCTGCAGATATATTCTGCACACTTTACCTTTAATATCTATCAACCTCACTGTGACCTTGAGAGGACATATATCCCTAGTGAACATTTTAAATTAACTACTAGGCATTCCTTGTAAAAATAAATCTGATTTTGCCAATTTAACAGATTTCTAGTGGGTCATAGGTGATTAGGTAGCCAGTTCTATCCCATGAGTGCCAATTTTTTTTTTTTTTTTAGAGAGAGAGATCGCAAGTAGGCAGAGATGCAGGCAGAGAGAGGAGGAAGCAGGCTCACTGCTGAGCAGAGAGCCCGATGAGGGGCTTGATCCCAGGACCCTGAGATTATGACCTGATCTGAAGGCAGAGGCTTAACCCACTGAGCCACCCAGGTGCCCTCCATGAGTGCCAATTATGTGCCGAATACTGTGGGATGTATGGATTCCATACACCTTCATGATTCTGGAATCTTTAGGATTGAAAAAAAATGTTTTTAACATTTCAGCAATGCATTGCTCTAAATAGTATTTTTTACTATGTTATTCAAGCCAGTAGCATAAATGCCAATTCCTATAGGGATAAAGCCTTTATATTTACATTTTATTTGCTTGTAACCTTTTCTTTGGTGCACAGCTTTGGAGAATGATAATTTTTAAATGTGTTTAATTTAGTGACTACCAATGAAAGATCAAAAGATGAAAAAGATTTTTAGATTATGATTAAGAAATGTATGTCAACCTGAAATATATGACAGCTCAGGTTCCTTGAACTGGCATATCTGTTTTTAGTAATTTGACCTTTAGAATCAGAGATTCAACTGATACACCATGACATTTAGATGACATAAAAAGATTTTTTTTAAAAACTTTATTAAATAAATGTACAGCTTCTCCCACCCAGTTTTTCCAATAACCTATTTGTTACCTGATAGATGATGATATTTATTTCACGCATTCTTTTGTGTGGAGGGGGTACATAATAAAATTGAACTCTACACTCGGCTTTGCTAAAATATGCTCAGAGAAAGGTTTAATAGTCTTGGAAGAAATGTTTGATAAAAGCACAATGAACATGACCATCTATCAATGATTATCTATAGGAAACACAAACTGTACAGTCTTAAGTTGCCCATCATTAAGACCGGCCATTTTTATGGAAAGACTGATAACTAACTTTGTGAGCTTTCTTTTCAGTGTGAAAACCAATGGAGTCTGAATGCTACTTATCTGAAAAGGTTTCCTCAAATTCAATTTAAAAGTGCGTTTGTGGGGGCGCCTGGGTGGCTCAGTGGGTTAAAGCCTCTGCTTTCGGCTCAGGTCATGATCCCAGCAGGGTCCTGGGATCGAGCCCCGAGTCGGGCTCTCTGCCCTGCAGGGAGCCTGCTTCCTCCCCCTCTCTCTCTGCCTGCCTCTCTGCCTACTTGTGATTTCTCTCTCTCTGTCAAATAAATAAAATCTTTAAAAAAAAATGCATTTGTGACATAGCATAGCTATAACTGTCTTCTGGAGTGGAAATGTCTAGAAATGTTTGACTTGAGGGTCCTCAGGAGGTCCTCTCCTTCTCCAGTCTGACTCCCTCTCCTCTCCCGTTGGTTAGCATGGTAATCCCACCGCACTCAAGTCTCCTGCCTTGGGTAAGGTTTGTCCTCTGCAGTCATCCTTCATTAAAAAGTAAGTACACCTTGGGAAAAGTAACATATTTAACTGCTGCCACTCTCATCCTTATTTGACAATCTTAAAAAAAGTTTTTGTTTTTTGGGGGGTCTTTGTTTGTTTTTTACTCTTACTTGAATGCAAAACATAAAAGGGAAATTTAATTTAGAATCAAACTGAAGGGGTCATTTTTGATCATGGCACCTGGTAGAAGACATGCACACCTCCCAGAGGACCACTTTGGGGGTTATCAGGAGACAGAATTGGTATCATAAGAAAGAAAAGAGATTGGTTAGGGAACAAAGAAGAAAGACAGGATCTCTACTGGCCCTGAGTGTAGCACATTACCCCTGCTGTCATCATTACTCTTAACGCTGCAATTAAACCATAAAGTATTTCTGACTCTGGGGTAAAATCTACATCAGCTTAATAGGTCCAAACTTTCATTGAGTCTTCTGTTTACTTTATCTACCACATTTCTAGTTCCCTGATCATACCCTTCCACCCCCCCACCTACTTGAACTTTTCCTTTATTTAATGCCGTGCTTCTAATTATGGCATGAGAAGGATGTCATTGGCTGGTAGTGTGGTTTGTAGGGTAATGTTGTAATGTCTGATACAATCCTAGGGCTTAGAGACCCACATTCACTTTTCTCCACCTGCTGCCAACAAGAATTCCACTGGGAAGTTATTAAAAGGTAATTTTTTTCATTCACACATAATCAATAAAACGCAAGAATAAAATCATGACACTCCTTGACTTACAGTAAAAAGTCTTAAATAGTAACACGAGATACTGTTTTCTAAATATGGCACTTTAAACCAGCATTTAATGATCTCTTGCTAAGGTTAAAAAGGTCAAATCCTTGAAATATTTCAAAATCCAAAGGGAATAATGTAGAAGTAACAGCCCACTCTTGCTTGTCACGTACTCCTGACAAATGAGTCACTTCCAGGGAAATCACTGGATCTAAAATGCTGGAGCACAGAATTTTGTCTCCCGTCTACTCCACCTGCATCTACACAGGAACTAAGAGATAGGTATGCACTCTCAAATGGATTGTTAATCAGAGCTCCTCAAACTGCTTAATGAAATGTTCAAATGTCCCAGTTTCTTTTCTGACCAGAAAGGGAATATGAAGTTAGATGTCAATCTCAACAATTTGGGGCTCTTAACATTTCCTTTAAAATCACATATAAACTGTTCTCTATTCCTTTGGAAAGTAGAAAATAGCCAACCTCAGGAAAAAGGAAAACAACATTTATGGTAGAAGATAAAATATGATGTGATTTTGTTAAGATCCGCTGCTGGCTTGCTCAAAAGGCTACTGCTTCTTGTTCAAGCTGCCACAGCAAATCTTTGCTAGTAGGGAAAAAAATTTCCATGGCTCAATGATGAGATAATATCAGTAAGCAATTTATTAAAGAGCCTGCCATCCATCACTGGGATTTGGAACAATAATGATGCATTGAAAATAAGTATTCATCCCAGTTTTTTTTTTTCCCCTCCTCACAAATTCCTTCAGCTCCAATGTCTCTTCAGTAAATTGCTAATAGTATTTTGCTCTTTGTCTTTTTGGAAACAAGCCCAGGAGTGAGAAGGCACCAGCAGCAGCTGCCACAAAACCAATGGTACTTATTGCTTGGTTAGCCTATAAAGAAACGAGAAACAAACAAAAAACAAATCTTATTCTAAAGGCATCTCTGTCCTAAACCCAAACTTTAGCTTGTTTCTTAAAATGAAGACCTTTTTAATGTACAAAGGATAAATTTAAAGCTTCATGTAAAATGTAACTATGTATGAACAAATAAATTTATGATTTTTACAATTATGACAAAGATATAGTTAAATACACATATGTATATATTCTTCATATTTTTGTGGTCCCCAACAATTTATAACTCATCATGGCACAATTCCTTATAAACATGGTAGTACATCTGGGAGGTAGTAGTACTCCTGTTTTGCAAAGCTTGGTAAGTTAAGTGATTTGCCTCAGGTCATACCACCATGATGTTTAGATATAGGTTGAGTCATGAACCAATTCCCTCTAAACAATCATTATCTCCTAAACACATACAGGTTTGGTTGGGTCTATACCAGGGTGAAAATCTGAGTGTGTGTGTGTGTTTTCTGACTTGAGAATGTCTACTAGCAAAATAATTCAGAGATGTCATCTAAGCTAAATACCTATAAGCTCTTATTTGGTAGATACAATTTCTATTTTGATAAACAAACTTCCAAAGAAGTCAATAATGATGTTAACTATTGTGTCAAAAATTAATTTCTCATGTAGACAAACTAAAATAAACCACTCTCAAGCTCAATTGTCCATAAAGGAGTTCAGACATTTATA